AAACCCAACGCCATCTATCAGAGCTTCGACTCTGGGGAGGCAAGGAACTTGAGAAACAATTATTTAATTCTAATTCATCTCTAAGAAATAACACCTGAGAGTAGCCGGCAGGGAGGGGGTGGTCCCAGACATGAAGGAGAACAGAGAGGTACAAGCTACACAGGCTGTTGGGTGCCTGTTGGGTTGGGACCCTCACGCTGCCACCGTGCTGGTCCTTGTAGTTTCTTTTTAAGATTCAAGCTTCAATCTGTGTGTCAGAAGTGAGGTTGAAAGCCAAGTGGCATTTTCCAAGCAGCTGCCCGACTGTTTCAAAGCCACTTCTTGGGCAGTTCATGTCCCTAGTGCACCCAAACCCCACTTCAGGATCTTGCACGATCTTGCATCATGGTGAACTTGCTCCTGCACTCTCCTGCCTCCCAGGGACATGCCTGGTGCTATGCAGGGACCACACCAGTTCATGGCCGTGCACTCATGCAGCAGGACACCCCCAGCCATACCGAGTGTACCTGGCTCCGGCTCAGGCCACCTGGGAATACACTGACTCGAGGGATGTGGGAGTCAGGGAGGCTCAGGAGACAGCAGAATTCTGTTTTTCCATCACTTGTTTTGGCTCTGAATCTTGGAATGGATGCTAAGCCAGCCTGTCTCTGGCCCCAACACCTCTCAAACGTAAGGACAGGTGCTAAGATTTAACTGGGAAGTAGGAAAGTAGGGCACTGGCAGAGCCATGAGAGCTCCAGGCCCAAGCCCATGCCAGCAACACGGTCCTTTCACCCCAAGTCCTCAACCTGCAGAAGGGGAGAAGGGAGTTCTCCAAGGAGCTACAGGGTTGGGGGCAGCAAGGGTGTGCCATGAGCTCACCAGGGAGTTGAGAAAGTTGTCTCTCACGGAATAGGTTTGCAGTAGGAGGACAGGTGGAGTCTCTCACACAAGACATGGGCCCAGCAGGAAAACAGACAGGATGCTGGGGAACCCAGCACATGCTCTCTCTCTCTCGCTGTCTGTCTCTTTCTCTCCCCTGGCAGAGTCTGGGGTAGGGTGCCAGCTCCAGTGAACACTGTCATTTGGGCTCCAATTTCCTCTTTCTCCACGGGACAGAGTGGGCTCTGCTTTGCTCCTCTTGTGGCCTTGGGTATTCGCATGATTTGATGACATTGCTTGAATGAAGGTGGCATGAAAACAGGAAACAGGGAAGACATGAGCATTCTGGAATGACCTTGATACTTCATGGCGAACCTGCTGAGCGGCCTGCGACTGAAGCCAGCCTGGAGGCCTCTTTGCACTGGGAGCACAGTGACCTCCAGTGGCCAGCAGGGATCTGCACTTGGACACACAAGAGGGCTGAACTTCACTTTCCAGCTGTTCTGATTTCACATCTCATTCTTGCAAGCACGGCTGGCTGACCCTTTTCCTTCCCTGCTGCCCTCCTGAAGAAAAAGGCCAAGGCCAAGGTTTTAGAGCTGTAGAGACCTCTTGAGGCGGAGATACTGAAGTACAGACCAGTGAAGTCATCTATGCAACAGCGGGCTGAGACGGTCCAGTGACACAAGGGGAGCTGTGGGTGCACTGGAAGACACCTGGCTGAGCCAAGAGATGGACCAGCCCGTCCTCCATCTTCCCCATGTGCCACGACAGTGATAACAAGGGCCCAGGGCATGAGCACAACATGTGGGAACAAAGTCTAACCCCGAGTGGCCACAGGGGTCCCTGGCGCCCAAGGCACATCCTTACCCCCTCTGCTGGGGGTGGCAGCCTGGGGGAGCAACCCCTCCTGAGCAGAGCTGCTCCCTCTGGCCTCCAGGAGGTACCTTACATCCTAGCCCACCCACTGCCCATACCCCAGGTTGTAACCAAGGCTTGACCTTCTGCTGCCCCTCCCTCACTGCTGGCCAGCCAATGCTGCCAGCTTCCATCCTGCCAACATCCGGGTGAGGGACAGGCCCAGCTTCCACAGGACACGTCAGGTCGCCCAGCAGCCTCTCAGAGCCCCCTGCTCTGCCAGTCCTGAACAGCAGGGAGCTGGAGACTTGTCACTCTGGGAATGTGGCTACACACACGTACAAGGGCAGATCCAAACACAGATGCTGTCCCATACAGTGATGCTGCCAGGGCTTCAGGCGAGGCTTGTTAGCAAAGGCCACCCCAGTAAACGACCCAGATGGAAGCAGGTGGTTTTAGACCATGAGGCTGAGGTGACATTCCCTGGTGTTTTCACTATTTGTGTCTGAGGATGATGGCCTACGCCCAGGGGGGCAGTCATTGCCACTGCCAACACTCCTGTTATCGCTGTCCAGAAGCAGATTGGTAACCCTTCTTGCTGCCCACCCATCCTGGGGTACAGTCAGGAAGCAGCCACTTGTGGGGAACCGATGACCCTCTGTCTGTACCCCAGGCCAGTGCTGTAATGAGCAGGCCTATGTTTACAAGAGTTAACAGGTTCAGGGCCGGCGCCGTGGCTCAGCGGCTAGAGTCCTCACTTTGAACAGGCTGGGGTCCCATATGGATGCTGGTTCTAGTCCTGGCAGCTCCACTTCCCATCCAGCTCCCTGCTTGCAGCCTGGGAAAACAGCTGAGACCTAGAAGTTCCTGGCTTCTGGCTTCAGATTGGCTCAGCTCCAGCCGTTGCAGCCGCTTGGAGAGTAAGCCATCGGATGGAAGATCTTCCTCTCTGTCTCTCCTCCTCTCTGTATATCTGACTTTGTAATGAAAATAAAATAAATTTTTTTTAAAAGTGAGTTGACAGGTTCCTGCATATCATCCTGGGGGAGGGCAGTGGGCAGCAGGCTTCTGATGAGTCAGTGAAGGAGCAGAGCCAGGCAAGGCATTCAGGCGATGTGCTGCACAGTGGCCGAGCCTGTTTGGGACGCCTGCATCCCATGTCAGCACACCGGCTTCTGATCTAGCTTCACACACACACACACCTGGACAGGTGGCAGCTCCAGTACCTGGGACACCTGGATGGTTTTTGGTTCCTGGACTGAGCCTCACTTCGCAGATCTTGTGACCATTTGGGAAGTGAACCAGCAGATGGAGGATTTCGCTCCCTGTCACTCTTTCAAATAAAAGACAGCTTTCCTCTTACACTCTCTCAGTAGTGGCTATGGAGAGCTTCAGACACCCCTGATGTCCAAGTAGGCCAGACCCACACGGTACCGGGGCCTTCGGCAGCTCCTGCAGGAATTCCAACGCACAGCTATTTGAGAACTGAGGTTGAAACAAATGCCACTTCAAAACCTTCCCACTCTGAATGTGACGACGTCCTGCGTCGCTACAGGTGTCAACACTTTTGGCTCTCAATGCACGGCCTTGCCAGTTAGCCCCACTTTGCCCTCTTCTTGTCTGAGGCACTCTCTGAGTTTGCAGGTTGAGGGCTAAGCAATGTGTTGAACTGTTGCTGATCCACTTCTGCCAACCGGCACCAGAGTACATCCTTCCACCCATCAGCCCAAGTGGACTTTATGGCAGACCCTCAACCTCCTCGCCCTCTGATCTGCTCGCCCCCTCCCAGCACCCACTGCACAGGCAGCCAAAAGACCCAGGCCAGGCAACTCTGGCCCTGCCAGACTGCCTGCCCCCGGGGCTCACAGATCCAGCACCCAACTCCTCCTGTCACATCTCACCTCACCTCAACATCCACCAGCGGGGGCTGCAGCCTGACAGTCCAGCCTGCCCCCAGGTCCACCTCATGCCAGTGGGTGATGCAGCCTGACCTGGCCCAGACAGCTCCTAGTCCCACCCTTAACATGAATTGGCTAGTGTTGTGATCCAATGCAGCCCCTTCTGCACCCCATCCTGGTTCTCAAATTTGCCAGTGGATGTTATCAACTGGCCCAGCCTGGCATGCCCCCAGACCTGACCCACATGTATGCTGGTGGGTATTGTAACGTGGCCTGGTCTAGGCCGTTCCTTGCCCTGGTTCTTGCACTCATGTGCAAGGACTGTGTTCTGACAAAGGAGTTTCCTAAGCTCCTCTATCAGGTCTCCTCCCAATGGCAGATGTTGCACACGCTGGTGTGTTGTGGGCCCAGATGGACTCTGTCCACCTCTTGTCCTGGCAGGAACAGTGGCCTTGTCCAATCAGCCCTCACCCATTCTGGTTCCCACTGTTGGGTGTTAACAGCCAAAAGATCCCTGATCCACACCAGCCAGCTCTCACATGGTTCAGCAGGAGCTGAGACCTAGCCCAGACCATTCTACACCCAAGCTGGCTCTCATGCCTACCAATGGTGCTGGAGTCTAGCCCAGTCTGGTGCTCCCCAGAACTAGTCCCCACCCACGCTGAAGGAGACTGCAGCCACGTCCGGCCAAGACCACTGCCCCCATGCTCACACTCACAAGTGGTAACTGAGCTGTGGTAACCGAGCTGGGATGTCCCCTTAGCTCCCAAACCAGGCCTGTTCCCAGCCACAGCTCTTGCATGTGGCAATGGAGATTGTTGTTCCACAGCATTAACCCCCCTTAGGCCCCTACAAATCCTGCCTCCAGTCCTGATTCACTCACATGCTACCCAGTGTCATGGCCCAGCCACACATTACCCATTCCTTAATAGGGTCATTTCTAAAGGTAAGGTTACAGGTACTTTCCACCTCCAGCCTGTTTTTTGTTGTTGTTGTTTTTAAAAATCTTTTTATTTATTTTTGGGGGTAGCAGAGGCTGACAGAGAGGTCATATCCACCGGTTCATTCCCCAAGGTACCGTCACAGTGGAGCCGGGGCCTCCATCTGCATCACCCACCGAGGCGGCAGGAGCCCAGCTACCTGCACGGTCACCACTGCCTCACGGGGGCCTACATCGCTGATGGCGGATCCCCGAGCTGGGTCCAGGAACCAGGTGCTCTGGTCTGGGACGTGGGCATCCTAACCACCAAGCAACCTTCCTGCTCCCAGGCAAACTGCTTTCTTTTCTTCTGATATATATATATATACACACATATATGCACATATATATGTATATGTGTGCATATACATATATGTTTTTTATGTCACTGTAATTCACTAACATTTCAGAACGAGCATTACTTTTGAAACCAGAAAATAAGCATAACGATCTTTCAGAGTTTAATCAACTAAACAAAGCCAAATCTAATCATTGCCTTCTCAAGTTGCTTTCTCACTCTGCGACCTCAGAGCATTCCGCCCGGGACATACACTCTCATGAGAATGCCAAAGGGGCAATCTGTGGTTTCCACACCGCAGACGGCCGCATGGCGCTCACCACACAAGCTCTCCAGCAGGATTCTGGCCCAGGGAAAAATGGGCACGGAGACCAAGGCACACGTTCCTGGAAGGGTCTCCTCTCATGGAAATCCAATTGCGAGTGAATGCCCCTGGCCTTGGGCGTCTCCCATGGGTGCATCCCCAGACCCGGCAGGCAGAGGTCAAGCGTCCAGGCTTTGGGGACATCCTTGGTTCTCCTCCAGGCTGGGCCGCTTTCGCTCTGGGGAGCCATCCTGGAGGTCTGTAGACAGCTCTGAAACAGGAACAAATGGGGTTGGCAAGGCAATACAGGCTGTGCAGAGGCACGAGCTGCCATTTACCACACACAGGACAGGACAAGGCACTAGCAGGGGAGGGCCTTAGCCATGGCCTCTCCATCTGGCCCGATTCTACCTCATCAGGGACAGGGGGCAATGGCTGGTGTTGCCTTACAATGTCACAGGGCAAGGGCTGGCACCCACGGATGCCGTCAACCTCCCACTGCCAAGAAGTGCCAGACCTGGCACCTGCTCTACTGCCACTGTACACCACTGCTCCGCAGCCACTACCTGGCTCCCTGGGGTAGAAATAGCTGGTGAGCCAGTGAGATGCAGACATGCCTTTGCAGAACTGACTCAAAACTAGGGGCTGTTAACTTCTAAGATTACACTAACCTAGTAAGGATGCCACTTACCGGCCTGTATTTCTTCTGTGGAAGGAGTAGAGGCTGTACTGGCTGGGACAGAGTCAGGCGGAGTGTCTGTCTTCAAGGGTATGAGGTTTATTCTCCTGGATCGGAAAAAGGAGAAGAGGAGTGGACAGCTCCTTAGTGTCAGTAGAAGTGCTCACGCAGAACACTATATGTCAAACACTTCAAAATGTCAGCCGGTCTTACAGTGCAAGCGATTAAACACAACGATGTGCTCACCATGTGTCAGTCTCGAGAGCTGTGCTTTATCAAATCGCTGACAGCCTGCTGCACACCTGCTCGGCCGCGGCCTGCGGAAGCTCATCAGATGGGGCTGGCACCATGGCTCAACCGGCTAATCCCATGACTGCAAGAGTCAGCATCCCAGTAGGGCACTGGTTCATGTCCTAGCTGCTCCACTTCCCATCCAGTTCTTGTGGCCTGGGAAAGCAATGGAGGATGGCCCAGGTCCTGGGACCCTGCACTCCTGTGGGAGATTTAAAAGAAGCTCCTGCCCCCGACTGGCTCAGCTCCAGCCACTGTGGCCATTTGGGCAGGGAACTAGTGGATAGAAGATCTTTCCATCTTTCCTTCTCTCTATAAAATCTGTCTTTCCAATAAAAACAAATAAATCTTTAAGAGAAAAAAAAGGAAAAAGGCATTCAGGAAGTGTCCACAGGTGGAAAAGCGCCAGACACGGACTGTTCACTTTGTAATTCTCACATTTTTCACTTTCAACCACTATCACTTATTTTTAAAAAGTACAATTGCAGGGCCAGCATGGTGGTGTAGCTTGCTAATCATCTGTCTGCAGCATATTGACAACCTATACCATATGGACACTGGTCCGTGTCCCGGCTATTCCACTTCCCATCCAGCTCCCTGCTAATGGCATGGGAAAGCAGCGGAGGCTGGCTGGAGGCCGGCTGGAGGCCCTGGGAACCTGCATCCCTGCGAGAGATCCTGAAGAGGCTCCTGGCTTTGGATGGCTCAGCTCCGGCCACTGTGGCCATTTGGGGAATGAACCAGCACATGGAAGATTTCTCTCTGTAACTCTTTCAAGTAAAATAATAAACAAACAAACTACAAGGAGCTTAGCAAATAGGAGAATGCAAGAAGGAAGCAAAAACAATTTACAAGTGCAACTACTTCAGAGTGACTTTCTCGACGACGGGACTGCTCTGCAGAGGCGTCGAGGCTGCGCTCCCGAGAGCTCCACCTGCAGCAGGGGCGTCTGCACACGAGAGCGATCAGCACCTCTGTCTGCTTTTGGTTTTTAAGATTTATTTATTTTGGGTGGGGCTTCTCCTTTAATATCCGCCTTTACCTCAGATACATGAAGGAAACAATATGGAAATACTAGTCTTACCCACTTTCCTGCAGCCCTTGAACCTTTTTACCCTAATTAACTACGTAAAGATTGTCAAAAATATAATAAAAAATGAAAAAAATTGTATTCAATAAAAAAAAGATTTCTTTATTTTTATTGGAAGGCAGATTTACAGAGAGGACACAGAAAGATCTTCCATCCACTGGTTCACTCCCCAAGTGGCCGCAAAGGCCACAGCTGAGCTGAGCTGAAGCCAGGAGCCAGGAGTGCCTTCCGGGTCTCCCACACAGGTCCCAAGGCACGGGGCCGTCCTCGACTGCTCTCCCAGGCCACAAGCAGAAAGCTGGACGGGAAAGGGAGTAGTGGGACACAAGCAGAAAGCTGGACGGGAAAGGGAGTAGTGGGACACAAGCAGGGAGCTGGACGGGAAAGGGAGTAGTGGGACACAAGCAGGGAGCTGGACGGGAAAGGGAGTAGTGGGACACAAGCAGGGAGCTGGACGGGAAAGGGAGTAGTGGGACACAAGCAGAAAGCTGGACGGGAAAGGGAGTAGTGGGACACAAACCGGCGCCCATATGAAATGCTGCGCGTGCAAGGTGAGGATTTAGCCACTAGGCTACTGCGCCAGCCCCTAATTTAATTTACCACTCTCATGCCTGCTCCCACCTGTGAGCCCTGGAAGTGTTGGCCAGGTAGGAGGAGGACTTGTGGAGAGGGCAGCTCACGGCGGACTGTGCTAAGGAGCTAAGCCTGCTGCAGAGGCAGCGGCCCACGCATGGGCAGCCTCGCCTGGACACTGGGTACCATCCGAGCAGGACATGCCTTGTCCCAGGAGCAGTTGGAGAGAAAGATCATCAACTCAAGATGCTCCTTAGAAGCACAATGGAATGGATTAAAGAGATGAAATCCTGGCATTTGGGGCCACATGAATGAGCATTATGTTAAAGTAGGTCAGGCAGGAAAAGACAAGTACCACATGATCTGTGGAAACTAAACAGCTAATCCTGCAGGGACCTTTGTGGCATAGCACATTAAGTTGCCACCCAGACCAGCATCCCATATGGATGCCACTTTGCAAACCAGCCGCTTCACTTCTGATCTAGCTCCCTGCTAATGACCTGGCCAAAGTAGCAAAAAATGGCCCCACCCATGCATGAAATCTGAATGAAGCTGCTGGCTCCTGGATATGGAATGGCCCAACCTTGGCTGTGGCAGTCATCCGGGGAGTGAACCAGCAGATGGAAGATTCTATGTGTCAGTCCCTCTCCTTAACTTTCAGGTAAATCAATCTTTAAGAAAAGAAGAAGTTAAGAGTAGAATGTAATGGAGAAATTGATCAACAAGCGTGCTATTACAGTTAAGACAGGAACCCAGCTGTGGAGCCCTAAGCTAAGACGCCACCTGCAACACTAACATCCCATATTAGATCACCAGCTTGAGCCTGAGCTGCTCTGCTTCCAATCTGGCTTCCTGTCAATGTGCCTGGAAAAGCAGCAGCAGACGGCCCAGGTACACGAGCCTCTGTCAACCACACGGGAAACCCGGACGGAGCTCTAGGCTGCTGGCTTCAGCCCGGCCCACCCCAGCTGTGTGGCCATCTGGAAAGCGAGCCAGCTCATGGAAGATATCTCTCTTTCTCCTTCCCTTTCAAACAAATGAATCTTTTTGAAAAACAGACCTGGACAGGAAAACAAAGTTCTGGTTTCTATTGCAAAGCAGGGTAACTACAGTTAACAACACAGGGTTTCAAATCGTCTAGGAGGAAAGATTTTGAATGTCTTCACCAAAAAAGAACACACATTTAAAGTAATGGATGTATTAATTAACCAATTTGGTGTAATACGTGTATATATATAGTCACAGTGCACTCCATAAAAATGCCTAATTCTTACATACCATTCAGAAGTAAAATAAATTTTTAAAAAGTGTTCCTGGGCCCAGTGTGGTAGCATAGTGGCTAAAGTCCTCATCTTCCACGTGCTGGGATCCCATATGGGTGCCAGTTTCTGTACTAACTGCCACTTCCCATCCAGCTCCCTGCCTGCGGCCTGGAAAAGCAGTAGAGGACGGTCCAAAGCCTTGGCACCCTGCACCTCTGTGCGAGACTCAGAAGCTCCTGCCTCCCAACTTCGGATTGGCTCAGCTCTGGCCATTGCGGTCACTTGGGAAGTGTACCAGTGGATGAAGGATCTTTGTCTCTCTTTGTCTCTGGTAAATCTGCCTTTCCAATAAAAATAAATAAATCTTAAAAAAGAAAGAAAGAAAAAGACCAGGAATGGAGAGGGATGTTCAACCCACCCGGGCCTTTCAGGAGGACTGGACATATGGGGGGCAGGTGTGCAGGGCTTCCCTAGGGAAGGTGGGGACGAGGATTGCGTGCTCTGACAACACACAGGCAGCCCCGGGCCGGGGACTAAGGCACGTGGCACTCAGGAGAGTGAGGAGCCGTAGCCTAGGACACAGGAGGCACGCAAACCACAGTCCCTGTGCCACCTGCCACTGCACCAGGCGGGCAGAGGCCAAAGGGGGGCCTCGGAGCCAGCAGGCTCTCATCAGCCCTGAGGTGGGCGTCCCTGGAGGCTGCCAGCTGCAAGGCTGTGCTGCTGGTTATTCCACCTGCAGCAGCCTGGGTGTTCGGTGTGTGCCTCAGTTTTTATTGCACAATCCCAGCTCCTTGTCTGGTGGAAGCTTACCGGGGTGTCGGCTTGCTCCAGGTTTGCAACGTGTTCAGTGTGACCCTCCGGGACGGGGGCGCTCTCGGGTTCTGACTGCTGTGCTGTGGGGTCTTCTCCTCCGGGGGTCCTGGCAAGGCGTTCCGGATGCCAGCAGGCACTGAGGGTGTGTCCTTGAGGGCAGGAGACTGCCTGGCCTGGGGCGGGGTTGTACAGGGACTGCTTGAGTCCTGGGTCCTGCTGGTGGGGGTCCCCTCGACAGATCTGTGCCCGGGCGAAGACCCCTGGTGGTTCTGACTCTTGGTTTTCTTTGCCGTATCAGAAGTATGCGTGCTTAAAACTGGCTTCTTTTTCAAAGGTATTCCCAGTTCATCCTTCTCAAAGGTCACAAAGGAGCAATAACCATCCGTGGACGAGACAGCCAGGAAGGCGCCATCACTGGACCTGTGTTCCCAAAGAGGGGCAAGTCAGCACTCCTGCAAAGCCTGGGGTCCCCTCAACACTCATCAGTGCCAGAAATGCAGTGCAGCCCGAGCACCAGCCTGGGCTCAGGCAGAGATCAGGAGCCAGCTGTGCCCACACAGGGTTTGTGAAGGCTCCTGCCTCATTCAGTTTCCTCTCCCAGTGCCAGCTCCATTTTCTAAGTTGCCACAACATGCACTGTTATCAGTTCTCATCTCAGTAATGATGGGATGACCTTTTTTCTCCCAAGACAAAAAGAAAATTAAAAGTGGAAAAAAAAAAGAGGGCCTAGCACAATTGTCTAGTGGCTAAATCCTCGTCTTGCATACACTGGAATCCCATATGGGTACCGATTCGTATTCCAGCTGCTCCACTTCCCTTCCAGCTCCCTGCTTGTGGCCTGGGAAAGCAGTAGAGGGCGGTCCAAAGCCATGGCAGACCCAGAAAAAGCTCCTGGATCTTGGCTTCTGATTGGCTTAGCTCTAGCTGTTGTAGCCACTGGGGGAGTGAACCAGCAGATGGAAGATCTTTTTCTCTGTCTCTCCTCTCCGTATAACTGCCTTTCCAATAAAAATAAATAATTTTTTAAAAGAAGAAGAGCTCTAAGGTCTAAGAAATAGTTGGTGACGGTCCAGGCCTCAGCCAGAGCACGGGCTGGAAGACGCACCGGAACCTTCTGTAAGAGCAGGGTGCTTGACCTCAGGAGCAGGGAGCACTGCCAAGGACTTTTCCCAAGCCTGATGAGTCCCCAGGGACCAAGGAATTCCAGGGCCTTCACTCAGTTTTATCAGAGTTCAAGTAAATCCATAGGACAAAAAGAAGGGAGGGCCAACACGGTGGGGCACCGCAAGTTAAACCAAGCCTTGTGATGCTGGCATCATCTATGGGCACCAGCTCAGGTCCTGGCTGCTCTGCTTCCCATCCAGCTCCCTGCTACGGTACCTAGGAAGGCAGCACGGGGTGGCACAAGCACTTGAGTCTCTGTCACCCGCATGGCGGACCCAGAGAAGAGCTCCAGGCTCCTGATTTGGGCCTGGCTCAGCCCTGGTTGTTGGAGCCGTCTGGTGAGTGAACCAGCAAGTAGTGGATGCTTTTCTTTTTCTGTCTCTTCCTCCCACCCTTGCCTTTCAAATATATAGAATAAGCTTTTAGAAAAAAACAAACAAATGAGCCACTGCTATAGCAAAAGAGAAATGGCTTCCATCCAAATGTTAATTCCTTTAAGAAAATAAGAGTGGGATCAAAAAAGCCAGGTGGGTGATGCAGCACCCCGTAACCCAGCATCCCCATCTCCCTCCTGCCTCCTTCGCCCGGCTATCAGCCACTCACCAGGAAATGTCACTCAGGGTGTGGTAGTGAATGTTTGCCACATAGCCGAAGGGGAAGGGCTGCTGTGTGTCATACAGGAGCACAGAGTCCTCGGCGGCCACCGCAAACACCAGGCGGTAGGGCAGGTCCAGCAGCTCCATGCCTGGCTCATGGGACGACTGGTCTGCCAGGGTAGAACAAAGTCAAACGACAAAGTCCCAAAGGGAATGCGTAACAAGCAAAGACCCCTCTCCCAGGAGGACACAGACAGCATCCTACTCACTCTGCTTAATGCAGGCCTGGCAGAGAAATGCACCTTTGCACGTTATTTTACTTACAAATAGATAAACAGGAGAGAATCAGGCATGGGCCAGGAGATCAAAACTAAGAGTCACAGGCACTGGAGTTCCCAAAAGAGCTCGGCAACAAGAGCCGCAGACGAGGCAAGCCCATCCGGGGCCGTGTGCTGCCATGCAGACAGCACAGGTGCCCAGGACCAACTGATGCGCTCCATGCTCGGCCGAGCTGATTGCATGCATTCACAGAAAGCCAACAACGGCTTCTGCTCTTGGCCGTGGAGGAACAAGGCCTGCACTTATGGTCCCACTTGAGCAGAGCTAAGATACCAGGCAAGATCTAGCACCTGACAGCGTTCGGGGAGCCCACTGTCAGGGACAGAGGACAGCAATCCCTTGAGGAGGAAAGCAAATGAGCTGAGTCCCACACCTGCCTAAACCTAGAAAGGTCCAACCATAATTTACCAATATAGAATCGCAAAGTTAAAAACTTTCTTCAAATGCCTCAATTTGTTGCCGGGCAAGTTTTCCAGGCCTCGTGACAGCAGAGCAAACTCACGGGAGTCAAGCAGGCTAGCTCAGCTGGAGTTCCCAGGGCTGAAGCCCAGGGACGGCACAGGAGCCGCAGACAGCAAGCTCCAGGCATCCCCAGGCCCCTGATGAGCTGCCCACAGAGGACTGACCAAGGCAGGCAGGAGCGGCCGGAGCAACTGCTAGCAGAGCAAACACTCGGAGGCCAGCCAAGGCACGAGAGTGTATGGGAAATCTGCTTGTGGGGCACCCTTCAGGGTAGTTGGGGGTTGGCCGCAGGCGTGGGGACACTAGGCGCCAGGCCGAACACTGCCATGAACCCGCCTACCATAGCTGCAAAGTGAAACACAAAAGAATCCAAATGTCTCCAAGGGACTGGACAGCACCTTAGAACAAATTTCAGGAGTATGTGTCAGAATACAAATAGACTCAATGTCCACCAAGATGAGGCTCATAATATCTGGCACCCACAGTCACCACGCATGCAAACAACCAGGGAAAGTGATCGGAAATGAGCAAGGAGAAAACGACCATGTGTATGCGAGAGGCACAACAGTAAGTCAAGAAGCCAGAGGAAGAAGAACAGCTTCAGTGGAAACCCAACTCAACCTCTAGAGACTAAAATGACGCTGCCCCCAGTGCAAAACACACAGAAGGGGACCAAGGTGAAGGACACAGAAGGCGAGTGAACATGAACAAAGGCCCCAGTAGTCACGGACAGCTCCCCACAGCTCCTACAGGTGCGCTTGGCTCCTCAAACAAGAGAGGATGACAGAAAACATTCCAAATCTGATGTCAAGTATAAACTCAAACTTGTTCAAGGAACTCCAAGAACAAGAAACATGAAAAAAATTACAGAGGTAAATCACAATTAGACTGTTTAAAACCAGTGATAAAGAGAAAAATCTGGGCCAGCATGGTGGCTTGGCATGCCAATCTTCAGCTGTTGAGCACCAGCATCCCATATGGATGCCGGTTTTAGTTCCAGCTGTTCCATTTCCGCCCAGCTCCCGGCTTGTGGCCTGGGAAAGCAGTGGAGGATGGCCCAGACCCTTGGCCCCTGCACCACAGAGGATATGGGGAAAAAGCTCCTAGCTCCCAGCTTTGGATCAACGCAGCTCTGGTCATTGTGGCCATCTGCAGAGTGAACAAGCAAGTAAAAGATTTCTCTCTCTCTCCATAAAATCTGCTTTCAATAAATAAATAATTATTTTAAAAATAAAAGAGAAATCTAGAAATCAGCCAGAGGGGGAAGCAACTATAAAAAAAGATCTAATTCACACACAATTTTACTGACACGACTTACATTCAAACATTCAATCTGTTACTGTACAAAAAACCAAAACCAGCCCCATCTTCCTTCACAGTTCCTTAAGCACAACGGACAGACCAGCCGTGTGTGTGGGCAGCACCGGTCCCTGCTGTAGGTGTTGAGGGCAAGTAAACATGCAAAGCACATGCTTAGCTCCCCCAAGCCCACCACCCTGGGGTTCTGAGGGTACCTGTGTCCACCGGCCTCAGCTCAAAGTAGACGGGACAGCAGCGAACGGCGAGCGTGGCTTTTCCGGGGCAGGGAAGATGTGCGATGGGCCTAGATGATGAATCACAGTTTTAGGGGAAGTTCTGCTATTCAACAACAGCAAAAAGGGGGGTCAACGTGCAAACACTTCCTCAATGTCATACCTTTTAAGATTCTTCCTGGAGAAAACATAAGTTGTATTCATTACATTTTCACCAGATTCCACACACCCAGCTGGGGAGCAAAGAAAATGGAGGGGGAGAAAGGAAAACGATATTTTATTAAGCCATTTATGAACAAAAGCTCACGACAAGGACATTCAATTCTGGCCATAAAATATTTTCCCCTGAAGCTGGAGCCAGGGGATGTTTTGTGGCTGAGCACACACAGGTATCCCAGCAGCGTCTCGCTGCACCCAGGCCCACTGTCCACTCCAGCTGAAAGTTCAGCTGCCCTGGAAACCAGGTCAAGTCCATGGCAGAACAGGTTGTCCCAGGTGATTCCAGAGGTGGAGTCCTGTGACTAGACCCAACTGCCCAGGCTCGCCCCAGGATCCACATCCGTCCTCTCTGACTCTGACCTTGGCTGCCATCTAAAGCGGAGAGGCTCGGTCTTTCCCAAGAGGCTGATGGAAGACCCGGGCTTTGCTGTCATCTCCACCCAGCCGCCCCCTGGACCTGACTGTGCCCTGGAACTGCCCACATGCTCTTCTGCATGTACCCAGGATGTAATCCAAACCAGCTCAGAGCCTGCGGAAGCCACCACGGTGCTCCCAGGAACTCCTCCCCATTTCATTTCACACTTGTTGGTTCATACACACGATTTCACCTGTGACCACTTCCCATCTACCGGAGGGCGGCAGACAGTGCCAGCAGTGGTCTGGTTTAGCGTTTCTGCAGAGCTACATTCTCCCACGCTTCCACCCCAGGGTAATCAGGCGAGCTCTCTACTTCTTCTGTACTCACACAACCACTTGGGCTCAGAATGTTGCTTTACAAAAGGGGTACTATTTACCCCTTCCTTACTGTGCTGCTCTCAGTCAGCTGCTTGGAAGAGCTGTCTACACAGCACTAACGTTATGCTTACGCTCTGCCTGTAGCTCCTACTACTGATACGAAAACACCATTGTCTGCTCATCCATGCTTATGTGAATGCTTTTGATTTTCTGCTGTAAATAACAGCCACAGCAAATGCCCTTGACATACACCCTTTACACTTTGCTTTAGTTTTCTAAGGAACTGGGTTTTAGACACAGGACAGACAGCTGGGATGGCACATGCATTTCGCTGCCATCATTCTCGATGCCCCCAGCAGTGCCCACCCTGCAGGACCACTGGCGGAGGTCTCTTGTCTTCCAGTCTGCCTGCTATGCCAGCTGACTGTGTGTCTCCTGTCACTGAGTTTCAGAATCACGTGCTGTAACTGTAATGCGCAGACTGGCTCTGCCCCCAATGCTTTTTGCATCCTTCACCCATTTCTTGCTGTGGGTGGTGGTTCTCTTCCTTTGTGTCTGTACATCATGCCCATTTGGAAGGCATCGCCGTAGGTCATACAGCAGCTAGTCCTCTCTCCCCATAGCACAAGCACCAACTTCCATTTCCGTCATTCTACCAACACGGCCTCCCACATCTTTTATCATCCAAAACTTTCACATTCAAATACATGAGGGTGCTGCAAAAAGTTGATGAGACAATGGAAATAAGAGGTTTCAAAGTTTAAAAGATGCAAAAAAGAAAAAATCGAAATCCAGATATATGAGAGCTCTTCAAAAAGTTCACAGAAAATGTGTTATGCAAAAAACATGCAGGGGGCCGGGCGCGATAGTGCAGTGGTTAAAGTTCTCACCTTGAGGGGCCCAGCGCAGTGGCGCAAGTGGTTAAGGTCCTCGCCTTGCATGCCCGGGATCCCATATGGGCGCCGTTTCTATCCCGGCAACCCCACTTCCCTTCCAGCTCCCTGCCTGTGGCCTGGGAAAGCAGTCGAGGACGGCCCAAAGTTTTGGGACCCTGCACCAGTGTGGGAGACCCGGAAGAGGCTCCTGGCTTCGGATCGGCATAGCATCGGCCGTTGGGCTCACTTAGGGAGTGAATCATCGGACAGATCTTCCTCTCTGTCTCTCCTCTCTGTATATCTGCCTTTCCAATAAAAAAATAATAAAAATAAATCTTTTTAAAAAAAAAAGTTCTCACCTTGAATGTGCCCAGATCCCAAAGGGATGCCAGTTCTAATCCCGGCAACCCCACTTCCCAGCTAGATCTCTGCTTGTGGCCTGGAAAAGCAGTCGAGGAAGGCCCAAAGCCTTGGGACCCTGCACCCGCATGGAGACCTGGAAGAAGCTCCTGGCTCCTGGCTTCAGATTGGCTCAGCTCCAGCCGTTGCAGCCACTTGGGCAGTGAACCATCTGTCTCTCCTCCTCTCTGTATATATCTGCCTTTCCAATGAAAATAAATAAATCAAAAAACAAACAAACATACATACATGCCGAGATTTCAGATGTCCACACCAAAGCAAGCATGTCCTCTGAGTCACTCCCCTTGTCAACCAAGAGCTCTATCATTTTAAAATTTTATTTTTAGTTGAAAGGCAGACATAACTCCAATCTGCTGGCTCGCTCCTGGGCTCACCGGGCTGCCTCCCTGCCGGGCCAAGCCCTGGGCTCACCGGGCTACCTCCCTGCCGGGCCAAGCCCTGGGCTCACCGGGTTGCCTCGCTGCTGGGCTCACCGGGCTACCTCCCTGCCGGGCCAAGCCCTGGGCTCACCGGGCTGCCTCAATGCTGGGCCAAGCCCTGTGCTGGGAACTTAATCCAGGTCTCCCTTGTGGGTGGCAGGGATTCAACAACGTGACCGTCACAGCCCAGGGTGTGCAACAGCAACTAGCAGAAAGCCGGAGTCTGGAGCTGAGCCGAGCGCAAACCTGGCACTTCAACATGGCAAGTGGCATGTCAGCCCGCATCTTTACCACCAAGCCAAATGCTGACTCCCTATCACTGCTTTCTTTTCCTCTCTCTCTTTGTTAATATTTATTTATTTGAAAGGCAGAGTTACAGCGTGAGAGAGGGGGATAAAAAAGTGAGAGAGGGTCAGAGAGAGAAAGATCTTCTGTCTGCTGCTTCAAGCCCCAGCTGGTTGCATTGGCAGGTGTGGGGCAGTCTGAAGCCAGGAGCCAGGAGCCTCAACCAGGTCTTCCACGTGGCTGCAAGGGCCCATGCACTTGGACCATCTCTGTCTTCCTCAGGTGCATCAGCAGAGAGCTGGGTTGGAAATAGTGCAGTTGGGATTCCAGCGTTGCAGGTGGTGATTCAAGCCACTATATCACAACACCAATATCTTCATAAAGGAGCTTAATATTTTTTTCAGAGCTCCTGAGTTTCCATTCTTAGGTTCTCCTCATTTCTAGAATGTCCCAGATTTTTTAGTTTTCTATTGTTACCTTTCATATTTAAGTACTGAATTCACTTGGGATCTATTTCTATATAGGAGTAGGAGTCCAAATGTAACTTCCCCCATACAGTTGACGTGGCCCTGTTCACTCAATAGTGCATCCTTCTTCCCTGCCAATCCAGCTCCCTGCTAATGCACCTGAAAGACAGCCCAAGCCCTTCAGACACCTTCATCCCCTGGGAGGCCAGCATGGAGCTCCAGGCTCCTGGCTTCCACCTGGTCCAGCCCCAGCTGTTGCTGTCATTTGAAGAGTGAACAGACAGAAAGCTCTCTCTCTGCCACAACCTCTGATTCTTTCAAACAAATGAGTACATTTTAAAACAAGCAGAAACCTTGCTTTACAACCTTCAGCAAGATCTCCGTCTTCCTGAAGGAGGCCCTGGTCCCGCCTGCCTAGATCCAGTCTTTTCTGCTCTGTGGCTCTTGCACCACTGTGACTAACAAGCTTCTCTTTTTCCATTTCTCAGGACTTACTGCTACTATAAAAGAAAAAAAATTGATTTCTATATGTTTCACAATATGTACTCACACTATCAGATGCTCTTTTCAATTTTGATAACATTTTTAAATATTAGGACTCTCCAGATTTACAACCCCAATGCAGGAAGAACGTTCTTTTCCTTTTCCATTCTTGGTGATTTCACTTTCCCTCATCCCTCAATCCCACAAGCAACAATAATGGTGACTGCTGACAATCTATCTTGTTCCTGCAAGTTACTGGAGTTAGTAAATAACTTCTAATAACACGCTGTTGCAAAATTACTAGCTTAAGCCACTAGTTACTTCTCAGTGCTGAGACTCCCTAAGCCTAAGTGTCATGTTCCATGGGTTCCCCAATGCTATGTTTTACTGAGAGGCGGAGAGACATTCACACACAAAGCTCTAGCCACCGATTTATGCTGCAGATGCCCAGGACTGGGCACGGCCAGCGCCAGGAACATAAGCCAGGTCTCCCACGTGAGCAGTGGCAGGAACCCAACCACTTGAGCTATCAACGCTTCTTCCTAGGCACACACGAGCGGGACGTGGGAATCACGAGCTGGGGGCAGGACTGGAACGTGGGCACTCCAACATGGGACCCCCACATGTCCTTACATGAATGGAGGATTCGCATCCCAGCCTGGATGGAACGCTCAGTGCAAACCTGAGCTGGGTCTTCCTGTTTGACCCAAGCCTGTGCTATGTCATCCCCTTTCTGCTCAGGGTGATCCTACAGCCCTGGAGATGAGTGGACACTCTTCTCCAAGTACACTCAGGGCTAACACAGCAGGGCCTCATCATGCTTGGCTCACCCTCAGTGAACCTGTCCCGTCCTTGCTGATTCTGCTAACATGTGGGATTCCAGCAGGCTAATCAGCTTCATGTCACAACATGCTGCTCACTCCTGAGAATTGAACACAAAGGCACCTGAGCTGAGAACCAGGCCTCTACATACACGCAGTGAAGAAGCATTCACGAGAACGGTTAGAAACACTGAACTCATGGGCCCGGCGGCGTGGCCTAGCGGCTAAAGACCTCGCCTTGAATGTGCCGGGATCCCATATGGGTGCCTGTTCTAATCCCGGCAGCCCCACTTCCCATCCAGCTCACTGCTTGTGGCCTGGGAAAGCAGTCGAGGATGGCCCAAGGCTTTGGGACCCTGCACCCACACAGGAGACCCAGAAGAGGTTTCTGGTTCCCAGCTTTGGATCGGCACAGTACCGGCCATTGTGGTCATTTGGAGAGTGAATCATCGGACGGAAGAACTTTCTCTCTGTCTCTCCTCCTCTCTGTATATCTGACTTTATAATAAAAATAAATTAATTAAAAAAAAAAGAAACACTGAACTTCTGAAAATTAACAATATCAAAGGGAAAATGTGTATCACTCTTGTCCCACGACTAAAAATGTATCTGCACATTAGATCATCGTGAAATTTGTTTAACATCCACAAACCAGGTCACCCACCCAAGGCCACTCAAACCATAGTCTCTCCGTGTGGATACAGGAAGCCATACATAGCTAAGGCTCCCTAAAGGTCTCCAGTATATGTGTGGACCAGTCATGGACTACGCACGCCCTGGCCAGGACTCACTGAGCTACAAAGCACATCAGGAAACACTTCTCTGCTCGCCCTTCACGACCTTAAATCAGATGCCACTGGGCATGGTGCACTGGCTCAGCAGGCTAATCCTCCACTCTGTGGCAATGGCATCCCAAATGGGTGCCAGGTCAAGTCCTGGCTACCCCACTTCCTGCTTAGGGCCTGGGAAAGCAATGAAGGATGGCCTAAGTGCTTGGGGCCCTGCACTCACATGGGAAACCCAGAGGAAGCTCCTAACTCCTGACTTCAGATCAGCCCCTCTCTTCTCTCTAAATCTGCCTTTCCAATAAAAATAAATAAGTCTTAAAAAGATGAATGAAAATAAAATCAGATGCCATCAACACACCTGGGGTGAGGAGCAAGGATCCGTCGGGAGTAAAACTGAGTCTACGAAAGAAGGACTTCATGCTGTCATCATGGAACATCCGGTAACTGCGGGCCTGTGACATACAGAGGCTAAACATTAGTCCACATCTCCACAGCAAAGGCCTACCAATGCCTGCTTGTTTCATCACATACAGTGATTTATCGTTATTGAAAGTGAGCGTTACTGCGCTCACCTGGGGAGTGAATCATCGGACGGAAGATCTTCCTCTCTGTATATCTGACTTTGTAATAAAAAAAAAATAAATCTTTAAAAAAATAATAATAATATACACAACAGACAAAGAACAAACCAGATAAATGAGCAAGACTGCAGGATGTAACAGCAACGATGCCCAGGGAACTGATCAGCCATTTTGATAAACACAGTAGCGTGTGTGTGCGTGTATGTGCGTGTATGTGTGTGTGCATGTGTGTGTGCGTGTGTGTGTGTGTGCGTGTGTCTGTGTGTGTGTCTGTGTGTGTGTGTGTATGTGTGTGTGTGTGTGTGTGTGTGTGTTTTGTCTGGGAAATGAGACTGGATGACAACAGGAAGACGATCTGTGTGTATACATTTAGAATTCCCAATTGGGCAAACACTTTACAAAAGGAAACAGATTATTAAACAGATGAACGTATCACTTTTCAAACCACATCTCTTGAACACCGTGTAGCACAGCTCCTGTTCACAGACATTTTATAAAATACTAACACTTAATTCTCAAGAACCCAAGGCAGCAAGTGTCGGTGTCCTTCCCTCACGTGTGCCCTCTCAGCACGTCAACTCTGGGCCGCCTTGAGAGCCGGCACCTAAGACTAAGTTGGCCTCAAGCCCTCAGCTGCTCCCGTCTCCTACGTGCCATTCTTCGTAGTCCAGGTTCCTCTGTTCATCTGCCAGTGCTTTCAAAGACCAAAACCCTTCCCATTCCTGAACCCCAGCCCCTCGCCAGGCTCTCCGCTGACTGCTACGAGTTCTCGGCTGACCTGCTGACAGCGTGCTGCCTGCTGCTGGGCACCTGGCACTCCATCCACCAGCTTTTCGGATCTTCTGGAATCGGTGGTGAACAGCCCAGAGACCTGAGTCACCGAGGTTCCTCCCACTTGAAGCCAGATGGAGCACACAGCTGGGGACAGGACCCAGGCACCAGCATTTGTAATGCTTCCCAGGTGATGTATCCACGCCCATCCATCACGGGCCTTCCCCAGCCCCAAGATGTCTCCATTTCCACAAAGCCCACCAGCCAGAGTGACTGAGCCTTGACTGTCCAAAAGAAAGCCTGCTTATAGTTCAGTTACTGACCATCAGTCAGCAGTCCACGTAGATTTCTGGCTCGACACACCAAATTCGCCCATGAATAGAGACTTTAAAGCAGACAGAAAGTGCGACCAATGGAGAACTCCACAGAAGGAGTAGGCAAGGACAGCAGTGTTTTTTAAAAAGGCACTCGTCAAGTCAAGTTTGGGCTGGAACCGTGGCGGTCAGCAAGCAGCTGTTACAGATGGATGTGTATGCATGACTAGGCATTGAAGAGAAGGCTACCGACAAAGAGGTGAAGAAGGCCTACCGGAGAAGGCTTTCTCCTGTCACCCAGACAGAAATCCTGACAATTCTGAAGCAGCCCAACTCTTCTACCAGTTCTCCCGGCCTGGAAAGTACTGACTGATGGTGCAGCCCGGATCGTATATGACAAGATCCCGACAGCCAGGAAGCAGGCAGCCGAGGGGACCCAGAAGCTTGATGAGAAAAGGAAGAAAATGAAGCTTGACCTAGAGGCGCGGGAGCAGCAGGTACAGGAAAAGGAGGCCAAGAGCTGCAGCGCCAGGATGCTCAAGCAAGAGACTGAACACCTTGGGGAGGAAGGCTCCCACTGCTACAGGAGCAGCAGAGGCCGATCCGGGAGCAGAGGCCGATCCAGGAGCAGAGGCCTATCCGGGAGCAGGAGTAGAGGCTCAGAAGAGAGCCCGAAGATGCTGAAGCCCAAGCAATCCCCAAATTAATGCTGAAATGGGAGTGCAAGAAGGACGAGGGGTCCCATGGCGGCTACTCCAGACGTCCTCCTGCAGCTTATCCAAAAGTGTAGTGACCTCTCCACCTGGTGCTTTCCAGTAAAAGGCCAGGCACGACAGTGGTAGAGTTTGTGACTGCCAACACCGCAGAGCTGGCTGTGCAGAATGAAGTGGGCCTGGTTGATAACCCACTGAAGATCTCCTGGCTGGAGGGACAGCCCAGGGCGCTGCGGGCCCCGGCCATCCAGGACTGCCAAAGGACTAGATGCTTTCGGAGAGGGACTACGAGAGCCTGGCCAGTACATACATGCGGCAGGCAGCAGAGCGGCAGCAGCTGAATGGCAGACGCAGCAGGAGGACACAGAAGGTCTGCCCGTCTAACCTCCGCCCAGGAGCCGCAACACACTGCCCTTTCCAGGGGCCCCTACAATAAACTTGTTAATAATAATAATAATAATAAAATGAACTTGTTGACTTACAACAGGAAAGACACATTCCTTGGGAGTACAATTTTAGCTTATTTTTTTGACCTGTTGCTGCCATTAACATAAAGCTTCAGACACCAAAGCCTTTGGGGGCACCCAAACTAATATCCAGATGACAGCATGCTGCTCACAGACCCGCTGGGAAATGCATAAACCAAGGTGGCTCCAGACAGAACAGACCTACCCAAAGGCACCAGGCTCATGACGAAGCCTGCCTGTCACCACACCTCGATCCTTGCCAAGCCCCTGCCACCAGGCACTTGGCTACAGTGAACAGGACGAACAGGACCACGTGATAAAGCGCTGCTCATCAGTGCACCCGCACCCCCGATCAAGGTGCAAGACTGTACCTCACATTCCAAGTCAGACAAGTTTCCAAGAAAGTAGTGTTACCAAAAAAAACCATAAACACCAGCTTCTGTGTTCTTGTGCATTGTAACTGCTGCTGGACTAGTAAAAGTGTTGCAAATGGAGTGCAATTTACATGACCGACTCAAGTTTCTCCACAGCCTTCCTCCCCGCCCCTCCCCAAAAAAACAAGGAGAAACATTACGGAAACAATGATCACACGCACTGTTCCATCCCACTCTGATCAACTGTGTTAACATCACCTAAAACTAACAAGAAATTTCAAATGTATAAGCAAATGACAAAGAAAGAAAGGAAACTTGCTTATAGTTCAGGTGCTGGATCCTTGAGGTCAGAGCCACAGCTGCCAGGGTGTGTAAGCACAGCACAACTGCCTAAGGGGCAGGCACTGTGGCACAGCAGGTCAGGCCTCAGCCTGGCATACCTGGTTCAAGTCCTGGCCACTCCACATTTCCTATCCAGCTTCCTGCTAATGTGCCTGGGAGGCGGCCAATGAGGACCTAAGTACTTGAGTTCCCAGCAGCCAACCGGGAGTCCTGGATCCTTGGCTTTGTTCTGGCCCAGCCCAGGCTATTAAAAGCATTTGGGGAGTAAAGGGCAGACGGAAGATCCCTGTCTGCCTTTCTTCCCTCTCTGTCACTCCATCTTTGTTATAAATAATTGCTTTAAAATAAAGACTGAAAGGGAAGGTCAAAGGATTTATAGAAGGCCTGGCACAGTGGCTCAACTGGCTTCAAACACCAGCATCCTACATGAGTACCAACTTGGGTCCTAGCTGCTCCACTTCCCATCCAGCTCTGCATGCAGCCTGGGAAAGAGGTAGAGGATGGCCCAAGTCCTTGGGACCCTGGACCCTCATGGCAGACCAGGAGGGAGCTCTTGGTTCCTGACTTCAGATCAGCTCAGCTCTAATTGGTGCAGTCATTTGTAGAGTGAACCAGCACATGGAAAATCTTTCTCTGTCTCTCCTTATCTCTGTAAATCTGTCTTTCCATATAAAAAAAAATCTTAAAAAAAAGAATAAAAGATGTATACCTCTCCTTCGGCTCCTATGCCAGACAGCATCTTCGAAACGTTAAAAGCTACCCGCTTCTTCTGTGTGCTATACACCCGCAAGACCCTGAAAAGGAAGGCACGTGAGTGACTTCTCCCAGAAAACAAGCTATCTCACACAGAAACAACTGGTTGCCCGAATGGAAGACCACCTATACAAGTGCAGTCTGTACAGAACTCGTCAACAAGGCCGCTCAGACTCGGCCAAGGAGCTGTGCCAGAAGCCAATGTTCATGACCTAACCTCACAGGGAAAACCCATCATCCCTAATTTCACTGCCCTTTCACTGTCTCAGTTCCTCAAGTGAAACACAGGCTGGGCCTGCCTGTGTTCAGGTGGTGGACGTGTGGCCCAGGAGGCTCAGGCTGGGCCTGCCTGTGTTCAGGTGGTGGACGTGTGGCCCAGGAGGCTCAGGCTGGGCCTGCCTGTGTTCAGGTGGTGGACGTGTGGCCCAGGAGGCTCAGGCTGGGCCTGCCTGTGTTCAGGTGGTGGACGTGTGGCCCAGGAGGCTCAGGCTGGGCCTGCCTGTGTTCAGGTGGTGGATGTGTGGCCCAGGAGGCTCAAGCTGGGCCTGCCTGTGTTCAGGTGGTGGACGTGTGGCCCAGGAGGCGACGTGGACAACTGCAGTAAGGTTTATCTTGTGTTCGAGTCTTGCTCTCAGGATTTGTAAGGTAAGACAGCACCAGTAGGTGGCTTTGCTGATGAAAAGCCTCAAACTGTCTCCTGATGGTCTGAATGAACCGCATGCCCCAGAAAACAAATGCCATTCAGAAGCCAAGCAGGTTCCACGGAAAACAAATACTAACTGCTCCATATTGCTCTCACTCTAGGCCCATCTTGGCTCCCACTACAATTCAGCCAAACAATTAATTAAAGTTTTAGTCCAGGATTGATTTAAATTTGATTGATTAAAATAGATTGATTTTAGTTAGAAGTAGATGAGTAAATACTCAAAAGCATTAGACTGTTAAGTAATGTACCCGACCTGTGACATTTTTTAATTCCTGTTCCCAAGGGTACAATTAAATGAAATTATACCAGTGAATGTGGGAACATGACACCTTTTCAGAAAAGGCAAAATATTTCATTTTATATCAGTTTAAATGAAGTCATTAAAATCAATATATCAAGCGATCATGAAAAAGAAAGAGAAGGGGCTAGTACTGTGGAATGGCAGGTAAAGGCACTGCCTGTGATGTCATGCATTTACATATGGGTACCAGTTCGAGTCCCAGCTGCTCCACTTCAATCTAGCTCCCTGCTAACGACCTGGGCAAAGCAGTGGAAGATGGCCCAAGTCTTTGGGCGTCTGTCAGCAAAGTGAAAGACCCAGATGAAGCTTCTGGCTCCTGGCTTTGGCCAGGCTCAGCCTGCCTGCTTCCGTGGCCATGAGGGCAGTAAACCAGCAAGTAGAAGATAAACACTCCAGCCCCTCCACTACCTTTTCTCTTTAAATCCTATTTAGGAAACATTTCTAAGTCCCTCATCACACCAAATGTAATTCAAAGCTTATTTAAGGCTGCAAAGCATCTTCCCCATCCATTCATTCATTTATAAAGATTTACTAAATGCTAACTTTATGTAAGACACTTGCCCTAGTTTCCAATTTCTCACAATGTCATAAGACATTAAAATAAGAAAACGAACAAGAGAATCAAAGCTGGATTATGGCTTATTTTAACCAAGTTGTGATGCAAAAAAAATAATAATACCTCTGCAGAAAGCTTCCCATATGTCCAAAGGCGGCCTGTAGTCGGAGCCTACCTGTCGCAGCTCAGGGTGGCAACATACTGGCCCAAAGGATCCCACGTCACTCCTTGCACGTAACTTTTGTGTTCATTGAAAATTGACATCTTTTGTCCTATAAAAAAAATAAACAAAAAAGCACAGAACAGTGTTATCCCAAATCTCCTCAAAAGCAAAAAATGCATCAACGACTTAAATACAAGGGTATTTTAAAGTTTATGGAAAAGTGGAATTAAAAGGCGAATTCTGGTAACTAAAAATTTGAAATGCATGCATAGGAATCTGATTCCCTTTCTGTCATCACATTATTAGGCAGTTGGTGGCCAGAGACTCGGGACCAAACACCAGGTGAGGCTCTGGGGACAGAGACAGCTGTAGCCAGTCCCCCACAAGAATCGAGGGAGGCCCCATCAGCAGGAGACTGCCATCCAGCAATGGACCACCTGTGCATGCTGTCTTGTAAGGTAAGACTGCCTGTGTGGTAACACTGATGCTGTCCCAGTCAGAGTAACGAGCACACCACCATACCACCACACTCACACAGAGACCAGATATTCTAGAATGCACTTTGCAAGGTACCCCCAGGACCCAGCGGGATAGATCAGTGGCTAAATCATCGCCTTGCACGCGCCAAGATCCCATATGGGTACCTGTTCATCTCCCGACTGCTCCATTTCCCATATAGCTCCCTGATTATGGACTGAGAAAGCAGTGGAGGACAGCCCAAAGCCTTAGGACCCTGTGCCCACATGGGAGACTCCGAAGCTCCTGGCTTCGGATCAGCTCAGCTCTGGTTGTTGTGACCATTTTGCGGGGTGAAACAGAGGATGGAAGATCTTTATCTCTGTCGCTCCTTCTCTCTATAAATTTACCTTTCCAATAAAAATAAATCCTTTTTATTTCTTTAAGAAGGTACCCCACTGTTAAGCAATACATGACTGTAATACAGTACAGATTAGAGGAGGTAGCAATGAGCACCAGAAGACCACAGTTCAGCTCTCCCAGTGTGACAGAACAAAGGAAGGTAAGGGAACAGAAGAGCAGGACACCCTAGAGAACCAGTTGCCCTCAAGTGCCTTCCAGTGCCAAAACGACTCCACTTGGCTCATTCACTTCACATACCATCAGCTTTTCGAATGTATATCTAGAAGGAAAGCCTGTTTGTTCACTTCTCGTCCAATGTCAAAGGAGCCCAGGATGATGAAATCAAGCCCTCTGGGGGCTAACCAGAAAGAGGATAAGATGAGATAGTAGGGGCCCGGCACGGTGGTGCAAGTGGTTAAAGGTCCTCGCCTTGCACGCCCGGGATCCCATATGGGCGCCAGTTCTAATCCCGGCAGCCCCGCTTCCCTTCCAGCTCCCTGCCTGTGGCCTGGGAGAGCAGTCGAGGACGGCCCAAAGCTTCAGGAACCTGCACCCACGTGGGAGACCCGGAAGAGGCTCCTGGCTTCGGATCGGCATAGTATCGGCCCGTTGCGCTCACCTGGGGAGTGAATCATCGGACGGAAGATCTTCCTCTCTGTCTCTCCTCTCTGTATATCTGCCTTTCCAATGAAAAAATAATAAAAATAAATCTTTAAAAAAAAAAAGATGAGATAGTACAGAAGATGGTCTGGCTGTGTACCCTGGGTACACAGACAGCTCAGGGGCTGGCATGGTGGTGTAGGGAGTTGGGCCTCTCTCTGATATACCAGCATGTCATATGGGGACCAGCTCGTGTCCCAGCTACTCCACTTCCAATCCAGCTCCCTGATGGTTATACCTGGGAAAGAAGCAGAGGATGGCCCAAGTAACTGGGCCCCTGCAACCACATGGGAAACCCGGAAGAACCTTTGGGCTCTTGGCTTTGGGCTGGCCCAGCTCCAGCTGTTGCAGCCATTTGCGGAATGAACCAGTGGAAGGAACATGTCTCCCTCTGTCTCACCAGGCTCTGTAAATCTGCCTTTCAAATAAAAATAAACAAAACAAACAAACAAACAAACAAAACAAGACAGCTGAGCCTGGTGTATTTGGAGCAGTGAGAAGCAACTGAGCTCCCTGATAATGTGCCTGGAAAAGCAGTGGAGGATGGCTCAAGTACTGGGGCTCCTGCCTGCATCCTGGACCAGCCTTGACCTTTGCAGCCATTGAGGGCGTGAACCGGCAGATGAAGATCTGACTCTCCCTCTGTTAATCTGCCTTTCCAATAAATAAAAGAAATCGTAAAGAAAACCCTGCAGCAATCCTTTCCAAGGGGCACGACCTGCCCCCTCCTCTCCAACTCCAGTCGCTCCCATCCTCCCTGGTTTACTCATCCTCCTTCTGCTCCTGTGACGTGCCAGGCAGCAACTCCACAGCCTCCAGTTGCTCTTCCGTTGAATAACGTACTCGGCTTCTCCCTCACTTCAGTCTGAGCTCTGCTGCAACATCACAGGCTCACAGTAGCATCCCCAACAGCCCTCATGGCACCTGTCACTGCATCTGTGTCTGGATTGATCTCACTTTCCCACCACAATGCAGCCACTTCATTCCTGCTCTTTCCAACACTGCATTCCATTGTATTAGAAAGGTCTGAGGTCAATATGACTGACTTGAGGGCATGCTGGACGGACTGCCCACAGGGACCTGAAATTATCCACGATAAAGCAGGCTTGGGATTCTGAATAAGACTGGCACTGGCCTTGCGCTGTGCGGGAATACTGGGGGCTAACCAGAAGATGAGATAGTACAGCAGACGGTCTGGCTGGATGGTGTAGAATGGAACAGAACAGATATTTTTAGGGGGCGGGGTGTTACATGGACTGCTGAATGAAAACCAGCAGCATGAATACCAAGTACACTTCCTGAACTACAAGCCAGCACCTGAGTGCAGGGAGGGTAGGCAGCCCACCGGTCACAAAGAGCATGGGAAGCCGTTTGGCAGGAATAGGGAGTGTCATGGAGGTCAGCAGGGGACACGAGCAGCCATGAGCCACCATGAGTTCCAGCAGTTCACCACAATGCTGACTCCATCTCAATGCTCAGGCACCTGCCCTCGCCCCAAACCGAAACAACAGGTGGAATGTTCTTGCAGTCAATGAAAACCTGATTCCACCTGCCCCTCAACTACCACCCAACACCCTACTGCCAAGTGACTTACTCACTGTCCTGTGCTCCAGGCTTGCCCCTGCACGTCTGCATCCACTGGTAACTCGAGCCTTCTATGTTCCAGCTTGGGCCCTGAGTCCTGGGATGGATCTAAGGCTTGGAGGACAAATTTCTATTTTGCTGAGCCAACACGTATCTAACTTGGATCACTAAAGATATCTGCCATGCTGCTTTCAAAATTGAAGCAGCTATTTTTAACAACATTCAGAGTAGTCCCACTGAAAACCATAGAAGTGAGTCAATCACCTTTGTTGACATCCCAGATGATGGCCGTGTTGTCCACGGATGCCGAAGCCATCAGGTTCCCATCCGTTGCCCAGCAAATATCATACACATCTTCTAAGTGGCCCCTATACGCCAAGTAAGTCAGAGAAAAGGAAGCAGTTATTGTTTTAAAACAGGAGATATCACTAAAAGCTTAAAGGCAAACTCCGGGACCATGCATGAGGACGGAATTATAGAAATTTCCATTGGTACTATATTAGCTATAGCTTTATACAACCACTTTCAAGACATTTTAAAGACATCTGTATCTCTGAAATGGATTTTTAAAATTAGTCATGTGAAAGGTAGAGTAACAGATAACTCAGATCTCCTATCTTCTGCTTCACTCCCCAAATGTCAATAGCCAGGGCTGGTCAAGCCAAAGCCAGACGCCAGGAATCCATCCAGTCTCCCAAGTGGGCAGCACGAATCCAAGCAGGTGCACCAGTAGGAAACTGGATCAGAAGTGGAGGAGGGGTATGCGAGGGGGTTCTGTACCTGCAGGCAAAGCCATTGCCTATAACACAGGTGCCCAACATCAGAGAGCCAGTTTTGAGTCCTGGCTGCTTCACTTCTGATTCAGTCCCTGCTAATATACCTGGGAGGGTAAGGGAAGATGGCCCTGCCACACACACGGGGAGTTGGGGTAGGACTTGTAGGCCCTGGCTTCAGCTCGGGTCAATCCAGACTTTTGTGACTACTTGAATCAGCAGATGGAAGATTTATCGTTACCTCTCTATTGTTCTGCTTTCCAAATAAATAAAAATACATTAAACAGATAAGAGTGGAAGCAGAAGCCAATCTGAGGTTCTTCAATATAATGCACAGGTAGCCCAAGTGGTAGCTTAGCAGCTGCACGATGCCCCCATAAACTAGCTCATTTTTTATACGGAAAAGATTTTAGCAGAAACAGAAAATCCATTTTTTTAAGGTTGATTTTTTTGAAGAAAAAAATTTCATCTGAAATGCAGATACAGAGAGGGAAAAGACTTTGATAAAGAGAGGGAGAGAGATCGATTGATTTTCCACCTGCTGGTTCGTTCCCTAAATGGCCATAACAGAAGTTGAGCCAATCCAAATTCAGAAATAAGGAGCTTCTTCCAGATCTCCCACATAGGTGCAGGGGCACAAACCCATGTGCCAATCTCTACTGCTTTCCCACACACATTAGCAAGGAGCTAGGGCACAAGTGGAACAGCCAGGATGAGATGCCAGGACCACAGGTGGTAGCTTTATTCTCTATGCCACAAAGCCAGCCCCTAAAATCTGCCATCAGTACCCCATTCCTTTGTTTCAAAGCCGTTGCACACCAATGAAAGGGTTGGCTTAAGGCCAGGCACAGTGGCTCATGGCTAAATCCTCGCCTTGTACATGCTGGCATCCAAATCGGGCACTGGTTTGGGTCCTGGCTGCTCCACTTCCCATCCAAGTTCTCTGTTTGTGGCTTAGGAAGGCAGTGGAGGATGGCCCAAAGCATTGGGACCCCAAACTCATGAGCGAGACCTGGAAGAAACTCCCGGCTTCGAATTGGCAAAACTCTGGCCATTGTAACCACTTGGGGAGGGTATCAACAGACAGATGATCTTTCTGTTTCTCATTTTTTCTATGGATCTGCCTTTTCAATGAAAATAAATAAATAAATCGAAAGAAAGAAAGAAAAGAAAGAGAGGGAGGGAGAGAGAGGAAGGAAGGAAGGAAGGAAGGAAGGAAGGAAGGGGAAAGGAAAGGAAGGGAGAGAGGGAGAGGGAGAGAGACAGAGAAAGAGAGAGAGAGAGAGAGAGGGAGGGAGGGAGGGAAGGAAGGAAGGAAGGAAGGAAGGAAGAGAAAGAAAGAAAAAGGGCGGGTCAGACATAAAAGGCACAGCCCATCTCAGGCTCTCAGTGTAGAAAGGCACCTGGGCGGTGCTCCCCATGCTACCTCAGAGTCTTCACCACTGTCCAGTTCTCCTTATTGAGCTGGGCCTCATCGTCGTCCTGAAAGGTGATCTGCTCGGGCTCCTTGTTGTCGTTCACCTTCCACAGCAGGATGACAGCATCTGCAGGGCAATTCAACCAAGGACCAGCCGGGCATCACTGTGTGTGCCACACTCCTGGAATCCCAGGTAGTACACGATGTTCAAGCTGACCAGTAAACTACACAACCATGGGATTTACAAATAAGAATGCAGAGCAGAAAGGCAGGCTTGCCTTCTGAATTCATAAACTCTGAACTCAAACTCATCACAGGTGAGAGCTCTGTGAAATCACCTAACAGAGGGTCTCCAGGCCGGCCAAATGCCCCTGCAAGCCAACGCAGCTCATTAAGCTAAGGGCGTGACCTGAAAATAACAAATCAGTGGAAACACGGCCACCAATGCAAGCGTGAGGGAAGCGTTCCTAGCTGTCCCTCAGGAAGTCCTTTGACACCCGGATGCATCAGTCTCCTCACCTCAGGGGTTTAATGTCACACCTTCCTCACGGTGCTGCTGACATCCTCGGGTCACAGTGTACAGCACATGGGAAACCCTGCAGTTAGTTAGGTGTATGGCGGCACCAGATAACGACGTCTGAGGTCAGCGATGAGTGGAAACCACTAACTCCCCACATTCCAATTCCACACTTGCCACACAACATGACTATGTTGCATCCTGGCTCCCCTTTAAAATGATTATTTATTTGAGGAGAATCAAGATTGCGTAATAGGGTAAGGTCATGTTTAAACAGAAAGAGAAATATTAGCCAGTGTGCACCACAGAGGGCACATTCCAGGAAAAAGAAGAGGACAGAACAACAGCAGAGGGGCACTTGGAGATTGACAGACACAAAAAAGCAGCGGACACAACAGTATGACGTTACAGCAACTGACACCCCAGCGGCACTCAGCGAACAGCCATCTAAACTCCATCAGCAGCCGCAACTCCAACAGCAACAAGGTGGAAGGGATGTTTACCAGGAGCTCCAGAGGTGAACCCAGACAAGGAACTGCCCGTCCTGCTGGTCTGTTTTGACCAGGAGCAGAGACAGAGAAGCAGGTCCCAGACAGGCAGTGTGTGAACAGGCCCTCTAGAGCCATTATCGGACACCATTTTGCTTAAGGAGCCAAGAGCTATGGGGCAGGACTGCGCATGCACACAGCTGGGAGTGAACTCATTTCTGACTCAGTGAACTGCAATAACGTGGCATTCTATAGGTTCTACCCAAGACAGGTCCGGGTAGCCCTCAGACTTGACAGCCAGCAAATCAAGAACTCTAGTAAAGGCACATCAGGCTCCAATTCTCACAGTGTGGCAAAGAATTTAAGACTGCAGGGGACAACAGTGAGCTGTGCATGTGTTGGGCACTGCAAGAACCCACTGAGCTCAGTGCATTGCACTGGTCCTACAGGAAAACAATACTGACTATTGCATTGTACGGGTCAAAATAGGTCCATGTGGCCCCGAGACCTAACAGCCAACAGGTTCTGGCAAGATCAGCACCACCAGCAACCTAGTTATATAGGACACGTGCTGTCTCTCTAATCCTGGGAACTGCTCCAACCGGAAGTGGGAGAAAGACAATACTGCAGTCTCAGCACAGGATCATAGGAGATAGAGAGGTATGAGCCAGCAGATGGGGCTACAGAGACCATGGCAGAAGTCTTAACATAAGAACTCAGACCTAGAACTCACTGGAGGGAGTGGCACAAGTGCCTGCAAAGAGCCATGTACCAACTGCAATAAGTAAAATCACACTATAGACCTGTGGGTGACAGAGCTTAGAAACCTGCCCCAAGGAGAAGAATCTGATAACCAGAAGTACAATGACCAAGAGCAAAAGAGTAGACAAAAGTACAATGAATATTACTGAAGACTCCCCTGCAAAGGAGCAAAACCCTTTGCTAACCTCAGAGTCAACTGAAGAAGACATCAAGAAATTAGGGGATACAGAATTCAAAACACTTGTATAAACTTATTAACAATGAGAAGCATGTAAAGTAGGCATTCAAGAAAGTCAAGAAATATGTCACACTGGAAATGAATCAAATGAAAGCTGATATATCAGAAATGAAGAATACAGTGGAGCAAATTAAAAGTACAATGGAGTCTCCAAAGTAGAATGAAGGAGGAAGAAAGAATCTCAGAATAAAAAGATATGTCCTGTCAACGGGGGAAACAAAAATCTGGAAGCAGAGTTGAAAGACACTCTTAAAAGGCCAAATATAAGAGTTATGGGAGTCCCAGAAGGTGCAGAAAAAGAAATTGGGATTAAAGGTGCATTCAATGAAATAATAAGGGAAAATTTCTCTAATCTAGAGAAAGAATTGGGAAACAAGATCCAGGAGGGGCACAGAACTCCCAACAGGTTTGAGCAAAATGAATCTTCATCAAGACACATGATCATCAAGCTTTCTTCAATTGAACATAAGGAAAAGATCCTTAAATGTGCACGTGAAAAAAATAAGCTGACATATAAAGGAATGCCAATTAAACTCACAGGAGACCTCTCACAGGAAACTCTACAGGCAAGAGGAGAATGGAGTGACATATTCCAGATTCTAAAAGCAAAAAAATTGTCTGCCCAGGATAACGTACCCAGCAAAACTTTCCTATGCCTTTGAAAATGAAATAAAAGTCTTCCACATCCAAGAAAAGTTGAAAAAATATGCCTCTTCCAAACGCGCTCTACAAATGATACTTCAAGATGTTCTCTTGACAGAGAAGAGGAATAGCATCCACCCAAACCAAAGGCAAATGCAAAGAACATCCCAGTAAAACAACAACAGAAGACTAAATCAATGAACAACCCATTCCTAAAATGACAGGACCAAATTACCACCCATACATATTAACCCTGAATATAAATAGATTAAACTCATCAACCAAAAGTCAGATTAGTAGACTGGATTAAAAAACAAATTCCATCTATTTGTTGCCTACAGGAGACATATCTCACTAACAAAGATAAGTGGAAACTATATCTCATGGAGTTTAATTTTTTTTTGTTGGTTCCGTCACTTAAAAACACTTACTTCCTCTTTAAATTCTTCAATGATTCATAAATCATACAGTAACATCATTTTTTTCAAGAAGGTTCTTGATTTTCTTTTTCATTTCTTCAGTGACACATTAGTCATTCAGTAGCATGTTATTTAACTTCACGGTGTTGTAAATTTCTATTCTTCTTCCTGTTGTTGATTTTGTATTTTGGTTTTTCATTTAAGGGGATGTATAGTAACTGTGTAATGGAGACTATCATATCCAGATGTGAGGATACAGTGCAGTATGCATCTCTGCTTCCAGACAAAGATGGACTCCCAATAAAACTGTTTACTATATGACAATAGGATGATGGACTCTCTGCCATTGTTCATGCCCGCAATGATGGACATATGACTGTGTATGAAGAACTATACTATAGTAATGACATAGGGGAACTCAATGAGGAAGGAGAAAATTGGGGAGGGGATAAGGGAAATTCCATGATCTATGGAACTATATCTTTTAATGATAGTAATAAAAAGTAAAATGTTAAAATAGAAAATAAAAATGATTATTTATTTGAAAGTCAGAGTTACAAAGAGATAAGGGAAGAGAGAGGGAGATCTCCCTTTCCTGATTCACTCCTCAGGTGGCTGCAACAACCAGCGCTGGGCCAGACTAAAGCCAGGAGTCAGGAATCTCTTGCCGGCCTCTCATGCAAGCGCAGGGACCCAAGCACTCGGACCATCCTTTGCTGCTTCTCCGGCCCATTAGCAGGGAGCTGGATCAGAAGTGAACCAACCAGGACACACACTGGCACCCATTACAGGAGGCTCTGTCACCCATTATACCCCAGTTCCTTGGCTCCACTACCTGCAACATCAGCTTCCCATATCCCAGCGCTAGTTTAAGACACAGCTGTTCTGGCTTCCCACACAGCTTCTTGTAATGCACCTTGGAAGGCAACAGAAGGTACTTGGAGCAGCTGCTTGGCTCCTGGCACTTGCATAGCTGGCTGCTACAGCAATCTGGGGAGTGCACTAACAGATGAAGATCTAGCTCCCAATCTATCGCTCTCCCTTTCAAATATCTCTTTTTTAATACATTTTTATTTTGAATTTTGAATTATGTGGTACAATTTAGTATAGGCTGGGATTCCCGCCCCCCAATCAAATATCTTAATAATAATAATAATAATGAGGAGAAGGCCCAGCACAATAGCCTAGTGGTTAAATTCCTTGCCTTGCATATGCCAGGATCCCATATGGGTGCCAGTTCGTATCCTGGCTGCTCCTCTTCCCATCCAACTCCCTGCTCATGGCCTGGGAAAGCAGTGGAGGACAGCCCAAAGCCTTGGGACCCTGAAACCATGTGGGAGACCCAGAAGCTCCTGGCTTCTGACTTCGGATCAGCTCAGCTCCAGCCACTGTAGCTAACTGGGGAGTGAACCAGCAGATGGAAGATCTTTCTCTCTCTGTAAATCTGCCTTTCTAAGAAAAATATTTTTTTTAAAAAAGAATTTTTCAAATTAAGCAACTCTAATTCAAAGATCTGAAACAGAAAACCTCTTGGCTGTCAACATGATACTCAGCATGTTCCAGCTTTCCAGGTTCCAGATGAGTGGTGCTCGGCAGGTCAATCTAAGCAGATTCCCAAATCTGAACCATTTCCAAATTTGAAATTCTTCTGGTCCCAAGCATTTGAAATCAGGGATCCTCAGCCCACACAGCAAAACTCACCATCACCTCCTGATGCCAAAACGTCCCCAGTTGGAGAGAAACGCACGACATTGACGGCTTTGGTGTGACGCACAAGGTTGGACAAAAACTCCACGACGGCTTTTCCGTCTGGCCCCTTTTCGACCTTCCAGATCTGTTGAAACCAAAGCAGCCATCATAACATCACACAGGGAGAACCGACCATGCCATTTGTAGTAAAACAATACCACACTTGTTTTCAGGAAGCAAATTCTTTTTTTTGGGGGGGGGAGGGTGGACACAAAACGCAAGAAAATCTCCTATGGAAAATATAAAACCAGAAGCCTTTGTTTTGGCATCGTGGGTTAAGCTGTCACCTGCATCCCAGCATCCCATAAGGGGCATCATTTCTGCCCTGACTGTTCCACTTCCTACCCAGCTCCCTGCTAACAGTCTGGGACAAGCTGCGGAAGATGGCCCAAGGGTTCCGATCTCTGCTACACGCGTGGGAGACCCAGATGAAGTCACTGGCTTCCATCTGGCTGTTGAGGCTATCTGGGGACCAAACCAAGGGATGGAAGATATCTCTTTCTCTCCGAGACTCCGTCAGCATCCCATATGAACACCAGTTCATGCCCTGGCTGCTCCGCTTCCCATCCAGCTCCCTGTTTATGGACTGGAAAAGCAGTGGAGGACAGCCCAAAGCCTTGGGATCCTGCACCTGCGTGGGAGACCCGGAAGAATCTCCTGGCTTCAGATTGGTTCAGCTCCAGCCACTGCAGCCATTTGAGAAAAGAACCAGCAGATAAAAGATCTTTCTGTCTCTCCTTCTCTCCAAAAATCATAAATCTGATCTGCCTTTCTGATAAAAGTAAATGTTTAAAAAAAATAAATAAAGAGGCCAACAATTGCATGTCAGCTGCGCTGTCACTGCATTCTGGAGCTAGCTGCTGCCCACCCTGTCATGGTGGCGTCCAGCACAACGACACGGGACAAAACCAAGAACCAAGAGACTTCTGCTTCCCTTGGTCACTGGAGTCCCTGAGCATCAGGCATTCAGGGCTGTGTGCCATGCAGCAACACAGTCGACGCGGGTTCCGCCTGCTGCTTCGGGGAGCGCCCGCCCGGTGTGCCTTGGTGCACCGGCCTTACCCTGACGGCCGTGTCCACGCCCGCCGAGGCGAGCCTGTGGATCTTCCCCGAGGAGCCGTGCTGGAAGTCCAGGCTGTACACGGGCTCCTTGTTGTGCCAGGCGATTTCACACGTGATGACTTTCATTCTCCCGAGTCTTGAAGCAAAATATTCCCGGAGTGATGCTCTCAATGTTCCTCCTTTAAAGACAAAAGAAGAAAGCTGAAAAAAAAAAAAAAAAAGAAAAACTAACACTGGTGATAAATAACAGTATTCTAGCAGCCAGGGTTTACCCAGCACTAACTGCGACAGAACAATCGCAACCAGTTACAATGTGCAAGAAAGCGCAGGTGCCTGCGGGCCGTTACCCTGCATCCCGGGACGGAAGGCCGCAGGTGATGCCCAACGCCACCCAGGAGGGGAGACCCCAGGAGGGGGTCCCAACGCCGCCCAGGAGGGGAGACCCCAGGAGGGGGTCCCAACGCCACCCAGGAGGGGAGACCCCAGGAGGGGGGTTCCGGCTTTGGTCTGGCCAGGCTATTGTTGCCAGCTGATGTAAGAGCTGTCCACTATCTGCCTCTGCCTTTCAAATAAAAAATAAATTTGAACCCTAACAAAAAAAAAAAAAACAGACTGAATGCAAGCAACTTTGGGCAAAGGCTGTTGATACAGCCAGTTGACATTAGCCCCTCAAAGCTCCATTTCAAAGGCTTCCTGGAGGCCAGGCTTCCTTCTGCCACGCCCAGAGAAGCGAAATCAATCACCCAGGGGCCTGAGGGAATGCGGAGGGTCCCCGGGTCCTCACCTTCCCCCGCCCCCAAAGAGGGAGCCTCCTGCGTGAGGAGAGGGTCTCGTGGGCGAGGGGATCCGGACCGCGGGCGAGCGGGGACCTTCCGCCCCAGGGGCCCGGGGTGGCCGCAGGCCGCTGGGCCGGGGCCTGGGCCGGTACCCGGAGCCCTCCCGCACGCCGCCCTGGATGTGCCCGCGCCGCAGCCGCCCGTTACCCTGCCCTGGGCAGCGTCTCTCGTCCCGGCCGGACCAGGCCCGGAGGACCCGCGGAGCCGGACACGGGCACCCGGAAAGCCGTACCTCACGGACGCGGCCGCTCACCGGCGCCGACCGCTCCTGCCGCCAAGCGCGCCGTTTCCCGCGCGCCGCAGGCCCCGCCTCCCTGTGGGCGGGGTCCCCAGGGAGTCCGGCCCCCCTCGTGGGTGTGGCCTCCGGCGCCCCGCCCCCGTCCCAGGCCCCAGGGCTGGTCCAGCACCATCAGCCAGAGGGTCGGAACCGTGGCCGCGGCGTCCGAGCGCTTGGCTTCCCACCAGATCGTCGCTCAGCGGGGAACGGCTGGGTGCTCCGGCCCTCTCCTGCCTTGCTGGTGCATTCTGAGCGAGCACTGCCGAGAGTGCGTCAGATGCTGACGCTGGCTTCCTGGTGGAGCGCAAAGCTGGCTCAGGCTCACTCTCCCGGGTTCACGGGCGCAGGAAGGGAAGACCCTTCTAATGGGACTCACGGCGACACGGCAGCTCTGAAGACCGCCGAGGGCCACAATGGGCAAATTCTCGGGGGTGGAGGGGCGGCGTGCAGTTGAAAGCAAAGAAGTCCACGCAAACACAAACCGATGAGGCGCCAAGAGTTGAAAGGAGCTACGCGCTGTTTTCCCACAGGTCACTTTGAATTTGAAAGCTCCAGGACTTGGAAAGTACTTCAGCCGCCCGCTGTTGCCTTTCAGCTGGCCTGCACTTGAGATGTGGATGCCTTAAGTGGCCTTAACCGCTGCAGCCCACGTCTACCCCGTGGCAGGCCCTCTAATTTCGACGTTTCTAAGCGCGACCTCTTTTGTGTACAGTTTCCTAAAAGGCCAGGAAGCGCTTCACGATGTGTGCCCCCGCTTGACACAGGGCACACACACCTGAATCACCCGAGCAGGTGCCTTCCCAGGCATTTTAGAGGGAAAAGAGTGGACACGGCTTCTTAAATGCTTAACATTTTGTGGAGCGACCCATGGATGAAAGTCTCGCGTTGCCGGAATGGGCGACTGCTCCTTACAGTTCCTTACCCTGCAGGGATCAAGGACTGTGTAATATGGAGCTGCAGCTTTTTGATGGCTAGATTTGGATTGTGGCTAGGAATGGCTCTACAGTTCAGAGCAGATGACTGACTTAAAGATACAGCTCTCCGCTCCACACAGGCCCATGAATACAGAGGATGGGGAGGGGGTGCCAGGGCAGGGCTTGTGCTTGTCCAAGTTCCTTGCTTAAGTCTGGGAATTAGCTGTGTATTGAAGAAACATGTGGAGTCCCAGTGTGGCTTCTCCAAATTTCTGAAACATGTTGATTCACAGCCCACCTTCCTCTAAACTACCAGGGTTTTGAACTGTGCATGAAAGAGCTAAAGCACACACGTTAGCTTCTTGGACTGTGCACAGGCAAATGGACTTGCTTAGTTAAAACCCCAGGGCCCAGAGAGGAGTCCTGCCTGGTGGCATTATGAAGAAGGAGTAGACTGAGGCCCAGGCTGTGCCAAACGTCTGCTTAACAAACGTTGGACTAAATATGTCCCACAACTAGTTATTCTATCTGGATGCCCCAACACTGCACTTTACTTATGGCCCTAAGCACAACCTTGAGAACTGTTTCCGCTAAGAAAGATCACTGCTTTTTGTTTTTGTTTAAAGATTTTTTTAAATTGGAAAGTCAGATATATAAAGAGGAGGAGAGACAGAGATCTTCTGTCTGATGTCCGAAATAGCCCCAACAGCCGGAGCTGACCCATTCCAAAGCCAGAAGCCAGGAACTTCTCCCGGTCTCCATGTGGGTGCAGGGTCCCAGGACTTCGGGCAGCCCTCCACTGCTTTTCCAGGCCACAGGCAGGGATCTTCCACCCATGGCTCCACCAGCCAGAGCTCTACTGCTCTAATGTGGGAACCTGTAGCTTCTGGGTTTCCTTTGTGGGCGATAGTGCCCAAAGCCTTGAGCCATGCTCCGCTGCTTTTCCAAGCTGCTTGCAGCGAGCTGTACCAAAGTGGAGCAGCCAGGACACAAGGTGTCCATACAGTATATGGCACATTAGGCAAAGGAAATATCCAGGTTCTTCAATACCATTGCTCTGTCCCAAAAATAAGTATTTCAGGAGACAAAAAAATCAAGAAAAAGACATTTTGAAGCTCATTAAAACCCTAGTTAGGGCGCCACGGAACCGCGTCAGAGCACCAGGCTTCATCATGCCTCGGGTGCTGATCCCAGGTTTGTGTCATACAGACTCTGGGAAGTAACCGTGATGTTCCCATACTCGGGTCCTGCCTCCCACATGGGAGACATCGGGATTGAATTCCCTATTCCCTGGTTTGATCTGGCCCTGAGCTGTCATTGGAATTCAGGGAATGAACCAGTGAACCAAACGGTTGGAAGCAGTCACTCTCTACCTTGTTAAAAAACACCACACTCTAAGTGTGAGAAAATACTTGCAAAAACATTTCTGGTGTACTAATATCCACCATATCTAGTTTTTTTCCTAAGTTAGCACACAGAACACACCATCCATCTGCTTCTATCTTTTTATTGAAAAGTCTGAAAATGGAGAGGACAGAGAAAGATCTCCCATATGCTGGTTCACTCCCCAAGTGGCCACAATGGCTGGAGCTGAGCCAATCAGAAGCCAGGAGCCTGGAGCTTCTTCTAGGTCTCTCACGCTGGTGCAAGGTCCCAAGGTTTTGGGCCATCCTCCACTGCTTTCCCAGGCCACAAGCAGGGAGCTGGATAAGAAGTAGAGCAGGCGGAACATGAACTGGTGCCTACACGGGACCCCAGTACATACAAGGCAGATTTTAGCCACTAAGCTACCGCCCCAGGCCCCACACAATCTATTTTAATAACTCCTGCCACTTAACAGGAAAACCTCAACAAAGCAATGCTGCTTCCTTGGAAGTTTGGAGAGTCCTCAGAAAACGAAACATAGAAGAATGGATACACAAATGTGGTCTACACATACAATGGAAATATTATTCAGCCTTAAAAAGAAATTCTGAAGTAGACATATGGAAAGATATCTTCCACTTGCTGATTCACTTCCCAAATGGCAACAGCAGCCAAGGCTGAGCCAGTCTGATGTCACGAGCCAGAAACTCCATCTCAGTCTCCCAAACGGGTGACATGGTCCCAAGCACCTGGACCATTATTCCCCAAGCACATCAGCAGGAAGATGACTTGAGGGAGTGGCAGTCAGGACTCAGACCGCACTCCACTGGGCAATACTGGCATCACAAAGCACTGGCTTAACTTGCTGTCACACCAACCCCCTAGAGGAAACTTACAAACATTATACAGAGTAAAATGAGCCAGACACAAGAGGTGACTTACCTGAAGTTATCAAAATAAATTTAGACAGAAAGCAAAAGTTACCAAGGGGCTGAGGATGAAAATGGGGAGTTACTAATCATGGGAACAGTTTGGGATGACGAAAAGGTGCTGGAAACAGATGAGGGCTGAGCAACAATGTGAATTCTTCAGTAACGCCACAGAAATGGACATTTAAAAAACAGCTAAAAACATCTCACCTTCCTAAATTCTTAAATGAGTTTATATTTGCAATAATCACCAGTATAATACATTAAGTAAATGGAGTGCAGACTAAAACAATTTGAGCCGGTCTTGAGGAGTATTTGTGTGGTGGGAGCAGTGGGTTACTCTGCAGCTAATACATCTTCCAGCTAATGCACCCTGGGAGGCAGCAGATCACGGGGGAATTACCTGGGTCCCTGCACAGGAGATCAGCTAGAGTTTCAGACCCCTGGCTGTGACCTTGTCCAGCCTCCACTATCTCTGGCATTTGGAAGAGCAGATGGAAACATCTGTCTTTGTCGCTCTACCTTTAATTTTTTTTAAAGAATAAGTACTGGGAATCCAGGAGTAAAATTTACAAACACACACACACACACTGCATGATGGGCCTGGTTTTGCATGTGCCTGGATTCCATATGGGTGCCAATTCCTGTCCTGGTTGTTCCACTTCCCATCCAGGTCCCTGCCTGTGGCCAGGGAAAGCAGTAGAGGATGGTCTAAAGCCTGAGGACCCTGCATCTGTGTGGGATCCACAAGCTGCTGGCTCCTGGCTTTGGATCTGTTCAGCTCTGGCTGTTGCAGTCACTTGAGGAATCAGGGGGTGGAAGATCTTTCTCTTTTCTCTCTGTAAATCTGCCTTCCTAATAAAAGTAAATCTTTAAAAAGAAAAAACAAAACAAAGCAAAACAACCCACCTCATAGCACTTAGCTTGCAAACTCACCACAAGATTCTATTCTACAGCCTGTGTGTCTCCCTTAGGCTGGACCTGCTCTGAGGCTAGACAGCAACCTGGGGCCAGTGCTCTGACGGTACCTCAACCGCCGCTGTGAAAAATCTATTTCAGGAAAAACTGAACCAGTAAGGGAGTAAGGCAGCAGCCACACAATGCAGGATAAACACCTCTAAAAATACAGTAATAACATACAATGCATAGATAGCACAGTCTATATACCCACCTTTTTGAGTTGCAGGTAATTGGTATTTACATTTCTTCCCATAAATACCTATATACTATTTTGCAAGTATAAATAATTTACACTGATAAATAAAATTGTAAGTAGAAGCACTACAAAGCCTAGATTACTTTAAGTCAGGCTTGGTTCAGGTCAAGCAGAAGCAACAACTTTTCACATCATTTATTAGTAAGACAAGGGTAGGTTGGGAAGATTGGAGTATTCTGAAGTCATCACACACTGTTCACTTCCTCATTAAGACAGAGCCAATCCTGGATATTTATATACCAGAGGCATTTAAGCCATTGCCTTAACCTTAGCCAGTTGAGTCTGTCATTTGGAGTCAAGTTTGAACTTACTCTGAATCTTGTTTCCAAGATGGCTGACTACTCTGCAAGCACTCTCCCAGCACTAAGTGGTGAAGGCTGTGGGACACGTGATGCCAGCATCCAGTCCTGCTCGCTTGATTCCCAGTTTACTCCCTGAGAATGGACTTGGGCCCCTATCACTCACCAGGGACACCTGGTCATTTGGGGAGCAAACCAGTGGACAAAAGATCTTCTCCCTGCTTCCCCTGACCCCCCGTCAATCTGTCTGTCAAGTAAAAGAAACTTGTATGCTTGTTTGGTAGGAAACCACATTTACTCACAATTTCTGCTTAGAATGCTAATGAAGAAAATTAAGTTGCAGTTAGCACTCCAATTCTGTAATGGTTAATTCTCATTCTATGATTACACTATTTAACAATTTCCTTTGTATTTAAATTTACCAAGACTGTTTCCTGTGGATATCACTTTCTAATATTAACCTTGTGATGAGCACATTTCATTCTAGAAAGCAGCACACTGTCTACTACACTAATGCATGCATTTTTTTTAATGGCATTCCTTGAAACTGTGCCCAAATATCCGAAACACGGAATATTAGGTCTCAAGCCCCAGGGACTCACTCCCCCCAGTGAGTCTATTTAGAAGGCAGTAATATTTAACCTACTGTGGATTTCCTAGCTGTTGGTCTGGTATGAGAGGCCACACCAACATACTTTTAGCTTCTTTATAGTAACTAGACAAAGAACCCAATAGAAAAAGATTAGGAAAATGATCAAAAAGGCATAAGAAAATGTTTAATGAGATGAAAATAGCACCCATTTTTTTCACATTTTAAAATTCATGAAGCCAAGATCTCATATAATTATTACTCATATATCCTGTGATTATAAATTCCTTCCATTTTGGATGACAACCTTTATTAAAAGGAACTCGGCATTCACTCTTCCATTCACTGCAGATACACTCTGGATACACCTGAGAAATTACGTACGGTTTGCATTTAATAATTTTCACAATAGTAATTCCTAGAATATGAAAGGATGAGAAATAGCAAAATGAACATTAAGAGCTTACTCATATCATAAAACATTTCTGAAGTTTTTCAATAAAATGTTATGAAAAACATTACCAATCGTATGGTACAATACCTTTGCATATACTGAAATAACTTGATATACATTCAATGCATATATATTAAGGTGTGTAGCTGCACAGTCAGCAGCTGCAGGAAGAACACACAGAAGCCAGCAGTGGTCACCTCTCGGCGAAGGGGCAAGTCTTTGACCTTTATCCCATCCAGTTCCATCTGCTCTTCCAACTGGGGAACCCTCCAGCTTGCCCCAGCATCAACAGCAGCCATGCTGAGAGCCTGAGTTTGCTCCATGAACTACTGGGATTCAACATTTGTTAAGATATTCTACAGCAGAACGCACAGATGAACAGTTTTCAGCTGTACAGTAGGTGTGGACGACAGGAAGGTGTGAGGAGAACAGCTCCCGTTTGGCAGGGCCCGGGGGAGCTTCCCGCTGCACGGCAGGACTGGCAGATGTCTCTACAACCACCTGAACACGGTTCTACCTCCCTTTGCAAGGACACCTGACCACCCTGCTAAGAATTCTGTAATCTGTTGAGGCATTGTTTGTCCCTGCGAGATGGCTTTTACATCCAGTGTGAGCTTGGGAGTTAATGTTGCTGACGACCTCTTGGTGAATGGGCCTTTAATAATGTATGCTGTCTCAGTTGCTCTTACGGCCCTTTGGCTGGAAGAGCTCAAGAAATGTCTGTAATACATGCTTTCAAACTAACTTAGGGTTATTGTAGTTGTAGTGGGAATTCATGTTTGTATTTTTTCTGTTTCTGATCTTTATCTTTTCCCCTCTGTGATATATTTTCTCCTCTGATAAGCTATAGAATGAGAATTGTGGTAGGAGTGTATTACTGATTAATATAGGTTGTCTACTGAGAAATTCCTGGCAGCAACGTTACAACGTCAGAACGGATAATGCCCTACCTTAAAGTGAAACAATCTGCGGAATTATCTTTGGAAGCACCCACTTGTCCATTGTAGAGTTGAAATAAAAACGGAGTAAACATGGCTCGTTGCTAATTGCAATTCTTTTTGCCTTTATAACTTCTGCTTTGCTTGCTTGGCCAACAAACTGTGTGACCCTGCAGGCCTAATGGCCAGCATGAGCTTTAGTGCCAACTGAAGCAATCCCTGTAAACCAAGGCCCCAGCCTTATTTCCCATAGGTAATTCAAGGCAGGGGTCTGGTTGTCACAGGTGGCACCAAGGTTAGAGCCCAGACCTGAGGAGAGCAGGCAGGGGCTGCCAAGCCGAGATAAGGAATGTGAAATCCTTCCTCACTCACCGGTTGTGAATTGTGCCCCCCTTTGAAGCTGTGTCAAACTGCCCCTAAAGAAAACTTTGTAATTGTACTGCTCTGGGCCCGCACTCTGTGGTCAGGTGGATCAGCACCATGAGGTAAAAGGCCTGAGCCAGAGTTTGTGACTGCTTCCTTGCATTGTCCATTATGATTCTGAAACTGTAGTGGTCTGTTTCTTTTCTCTCTACGCCTATTTCATACACCCTTCTCGAGTTCTGAACTCGGCTGGAGCTGGCCTCTGGCAGTACAGTACTGTGGCATGAACCTGAGATGCCTTTAGGACACGCTGGTCCCTGAGCCCAACCCCCAAACATTTGAACTTCAGTATGCGGGGTACGGCTTCACCGTGGGAATTCTGAAAGCATTCCAGATGCTCCTAACATGCAGCCAGTGCTTAGTACCACCTGGACAGATCACGTAAATGACTCTTAAATGATCAGTATGACCCAAGTTCAAAAGGGCCGTGTGCCAAGCAAGAATCCAGTACCTGAGACCCCAGGCAGTGTTTCCAGCAACACTGGCCATCACTGGAAATCTGAAACCCCAAAGGACAAAGAGGTGCGAGACGCTGCTCCCACCGCGGTCACCCAACTTTCCCTGACCTTGCAGTCCTCGTTGATCACAGCAAGCACAAGGAGGGGAAGACTGTTTTGGTGTAGTTCCTCATATTTTACTTTAAAAGAGTAAATGGCAAACAACAGCCAGTTGGCTGAAAAGCTCACGATGTTCTGAAAAAGTTCTTGCTTGTTATACTTTCAACGTCACATTTCTTGGTAATAGCATACCAAAAAAGGTGAAAAATACGTAATTATTTCTAGTTTCCCTTACAATTCCCAGGACTGATTTTCCCAGTCACATCAAATACTGTTCCTGTGAATATAGCAGCTGACCAAGATGAAGGAGAAAACAATCAACCACCTCCCCAAAAAGTTATAAAACTTAAACAGCCACTCTCATCTAGGCACGGCTGCCTTCTGCGGGGGAGGACTTCTTGCACAGCAACACACACCGTGCCAGGCCATCTCTCTCCCCAGAGGACGCTGGTCTCAGGACGACTGGCCTAGTCTTCAAAATGTAGCACATCATCCACACAATGAAATGAACTCCTCCTCAGGGCTTACCCGACAGACTTGCACTTTCAAAATATTTTTAACTTAGCATTAAATTATTTAAAAGTAATACCTAAACAGTTAGCCACCATATATTTTTATTTTTTTTTACAAGATATCTTAAAATCTGGGAAGTTGTAATTGAGACAGAAAACCAGCTTCATACCAAAAATACACTTTCAATTACTTTATCAAGCAAATAAAAACAATCTTCATTTATTTGCTTTTAATGTACATTAAAAATTTAACTGTAGATGAGATTTAATTAAGCACACATACAAATGATACATATGAATGTCCAGTAACAAAAGTAAAAATAAATAGCAACAATAAAACTTTGGGAAAAATAATGTACATTTTAGCTGTGGAAAATACAATTCTTAATTATATATACACTTTTATACTCAATAAAATTGCACAAAACATGGAAACCAATAAAGCATAATATTTATAGCATGTAATACTACATCCTAGGCAGTTGCTCCTGAACGCCAGGAAATACAACACTTCAGTCTGTAATATAATAAAAGGTATGTAGTTCTGCTGGAGAAAGACAGTCTTCCTCAACTCGCTTTAACCTGTGGTATCCTACAAAAGGCTGTACAGGAAATTTCACAAAAAGAAATATTTAATAATTATCATGCCCACTTCATGCTGACTACACAGCCAAAAATGGGCTTCAAAGTAAACTTGTAGTCATTTAATATTTTCAATACTTTTTATATACTAAAGATCATTTCTTTGTTCTACAAAAACACTTTGTGTTTAATCATGATTAGCAATCCGAGCACAAGAAAAATCCTGGCAAAATGGAGTCACTTCTCACTTACCTTATTTTCTTGAATAAAAGATTTCAGAAGATAAGAATTTATAGAAAAAAAATGAATTAATGCTCATTTGTGTATACCCAGAGTCTTATCAGGAGTTCTATTATTTAAAAACCCCACATAAGTTCCTTTGTAAGAAAAGCAAACCTAACATTTTCATTTGTATTTATGGCACAGCCCTTAGTTCAGAGAAAAATACACTCTGGGGAACCAGAAAAATTGCACAAAGCTTAGAGGCAACTGGGAAAGCTCTTGGTGAAAAACAATTAAGTACTTTAGGGCAGTAAAAAAATATGTGCTGACTTAATTACAAATATTTACATTAAAACAGAATCAAGAGTTTAGCTATTCAGCCACTCCATACCAACAGCTCTTTGAGTCTCAGAAAGCATGATGTGTCCACAGTGTGTGACCACATTCAGGTGCATAGAATACAGTAATGACTATGGTCTTCAGTCTGTTACCCATCATAGCTAAAAAACAACATTTTATATTTTGAAAGCTGTACAACCAAAAGCATTCAGGAAATACTTTTATTACATCACGTAAATTATACTTTTAAGTACTACTGATCTCGCTCATTTGTTCGACCACCTGCCCTAGAATCTCATCCACCACGTCGACGTCGTAATTGACTTGCTGCAGGTCGAGGTCAGGCACGATCATAGCCAGCAGCTGGCCCACGTTCACGCGCAGAGACCGCAGCTTGAGGCTGCAAATGCACAGTCACTCATTAGGGACCCGGCAGTGCAGCCTAGAGTCACACAGAGCTTACAGGGAAACATGAACATCCACAAAATAAAAAGCAAAGCTTCCCTAGGGAGCTGGATGTAGTTAACAGTTCTTTTTATCTGCTGGATCCTAGTCTAAATCCAAGCATAGCAACATTTCATAAAACTATCAGCAGAGTGGTTCCTAACAAGCTACTAATTAACTGATACGAAACAGACCAAAAAAAAAATCATAAATTGGAAGATGCTGTTACCAATTTAAAGTACTGCTCTGACCTGGAAAACAGTCATGAACATGCTACACAGAACACTAGTCTAAAAATATGCAAGTGTTTGAATTTCAGCTTCCCATTAAATTAAATAAAACAGACCCTAAAGCATGTGCTATGAGACAATTCAGTCATATGAGGACGGAAAAAGGTTCCACAGCCAAGTGAGCTTGTGGGTCTCATTTTCAAAAACACTTGTCAAGGGACTAGCGTGTGGCACAGTCAGTTAAGTTGCATCCTGCAGTACTGGCACTCCATATGAGAACCAGTTTCTGTCCTGGCTGCTCCAGTTCCAACTCAGCTCCCCGCTAAAGCACGTGAGGAAGCAGAGGAACATAAAGTAAGACCTTGGGTCCCTACACCTATGTGCAAGACTGATCAACATCATTAGCAAATCACAGTTATAGAACTTAGTGACTTTCTAAGAATAAATGAACACGGGCCCGGCACATTGGCCTATCAGCTAAAGTCCCATAGGGCGCTGGTTCTAATCCCGGTGGCCCCACTTCCCATCCAGTTTCCTTCCTGTGGCCTGGGAAAGCAGTCGAGGACAGCCCAAGGGGCCTTGGGACCCTGCACCTGCTTGGGAGACCCAGAAGAGGTTCCGGGCTCCTGGCTTCGGATCGGCTCAGCTCCAGCTCTTACGGCCACGTTGGGAGTCAATCAACAGAAGATTTTCCTCTCTGTCTCTCCTAATCTCTGTATACCTGACTTTGCAATAAAAATAAATCTTTAAGTAAAAAAAGATAAACTCCCTCTTATCTCTCTTTTGGAACCACAGTGGATAACATTTTTTTCCACAGGACAGTCTCTGTTGGGTGCTAGTAAATAAAGCTACCGTAAGAGCAATCCCAGCAAAAAGCCTCATTTACAATTACCTTTCCCCATCCGTGTAATTGACAGCCTCTTCAATGTTGCTTGAAGTTGAAACATCTGCTCCCGTGTGTTGATTTGTAGATTTTAACTGTTCAATTTCAGCTTTGAGTTGTTCACACTGTGAACGAATTTGTGACTTTTCCATTTCCAATAATTCAACCTGTTAAAAATATAAATTTTGTAACTAATATTTCACAACACTATCAAAGTACAAATTTAAATTTAGAAATGTAGAGAACCAGCTTGAAAAAAATACTGATTATCACATTAAACACACTCAGCCCCAAAAAACTTCTACCAAAAAAAAGTTTCATGTTTGGTCTGAATGTTAGGTATATGCTTACTTTGGAGAAATCAAAATACTAATAACCACTACACCAGAAACACCTGGAATCTAGAATTGAGAAGCTACACACTAACACCTAGGTCGTGTCAATGCAACTGACACGCATGTCTCCCACAGCACTCAAGCAGCTCAGCGTCTTACTGTGGTTTCCAAAGGCTTCTCAGCACAGAAATGCTTTCAAACCCGAGGTAAAAGCGCAGCTCCCCGAGTCTGAAGTGACAACAGATGCAGAGGTTACACTTGTCTCCTGAACACTCTTTCTCAGTAGAACAGACTACATTTCCCAGGAATTAAATCCCCGCAGCATCTTCCAGGAGCCAAACTCCTGTCTTTCCTGCTGCAGCTTCCAACAAGGAGGGACATGGTGGTCCCTCCAGGAGAGAGCTATCTGAGACCCCAACTGCAGGCGGAGTGTCCCTGAAGACCATGAAGCTGTTACCGGACATGAGGTATCAGGGTCACCAGCAATCAATCTTAACCCTGGGCTTACAAGCCGTTTCAGGCCCCCCAGGCTGTTGGCACTATGTATAGCTGTGTGCCAACCCCTTGGGGCCTCCGGGCAACATTGGCTGCAGGTGAACCTGGGTGGGGGGCGGAGCCAGAGCAGGGGAGCAGGTGGAGGTCCAGCTGTTGGCAGGGCAGCTCCATCAAATGATACCACCATTTACCTGTCAGGACGACGGTGAAGATGCAAAGTTCAGGGGCTGTGTCACTGTCCAACAACGTTCTGTGTACTACAGGACATGCACTGTACCTGACCACCACCCATTATCTTCTAGCAGTGCACATCTCCTCAAAACACTCCAATCCAAATACACCTTTACACACGCCCCCGAGGAGACCCGGCGGAATATCAGATGCTTAATGAGTAGACCACGGCAGCAACTACAGCCTAGGAACTGGTCATTCTTTCAAGCTGGAATGGACAGATGGCAGAACTCACCTCACTTTTAAAGCGATCTCGCTCAACACTGCATTTGTCCAGCTGTCTAAACACATCGTCAAGCTGCACAGCCATTTCATCCATTTCACTTTTACTCTCACTATTGGAACAGTGGCTGCATTCAGTCTTGACATGTTGCAAAGCACTATACTGTTTTTTCAGCCTTTCTATTTCTTCCAAAGCTTGCTGATACTGAGATACTATATGGTCTGGACTTTCAGATTTGCCATTAATACTTTCAACTAAAAATACAGCATCCGTTTCAGTAGACTGATGACAAGTTTCCTTCTTCACACACTTGTCACTCAGTTCTAGTATCTTCTGTTGTAACACTTTGATTTGGTCAGTAAACACTTGACACTGACTTTTGTAATTCTCTTTTTCTTGAGAGACTAGCAGCAGTTCATTTCTCAATTCATGCAACTGGCAGCCGGTGTCGTCTGGCGGCTTATCCAAAGCTTCCTGCGTCTCCTGTCCACTGGCTTCAGCTTCTGCACAGGAGGGCAGTGCCACTGCGTCACCGGTGACACTTATCTCATGTTCAACACTTTCTTCCTTTTTCACCACTAAGCTTGGGACTTCGGTCTGAGTGGCTGCAGCAGTTCCCTGATCACATCTGGACGCCGAGGTGCTGGCCAAACTGGTCAGGCCACAAGGTTCAGTGCTACCCACGAGATGCACTTCCACAGCCCTTTCTTCCACACGGCTCTGTTCTGACTTCACCTCAACATCGTGGTCCACTGCAGGTTTCGGCGTACTGTTTTCTTCTAAAATGATGACATCTTCATCATCATCATCTTTACGAGCTGAATTTTCAAATACTGGATTACTCAATCGTCGACTCTTAACATTCAAAATTGATGAGCGAACTGGAAGTTTTCGTTTCAAGCTGGAAAAAGAATTGTGTTTAAAATATAAACATAAAAATAGGGACGAAATAGATGGCCTTGAAGGAACTGATCTAAAGCAAAGGCACAGCTCATGTCACTTTCTCAACTATCTTTAATTCTAAGACATGTCCATTTATTCAAAATATTTAAAACAATACTTTGCATGGTACAGACCACTAATTTAACAAAGTGCAGATTACTGTCTTTTCAAAAAAGATTTATTTATTTTGAAAGTCAGAGTTACAGAGAGGGAGACAGATTTTCCTTCCGTTGGGTCACTCCCCAGATGACCACAATGGGCATCACTGGGCCAGGCTGAAGCTAGGAACCAGGAGCTGTACCTGGGGCCTCTCCTGTGTGAGGCAGGGACCCAAGCACTTATGCCATCTTCTGCCAATTTTCCCAGTTGGATCAGAAACGGAGCAGCGAGGACATGTACCGCTGCCCACAGGGTATGCAGGCACTGCAGCTGGTGGCATTAAACTGCAGGGCACAACACCAGCACCCCACTGTCTCTTTACAGATATAGACACAGCCAACCACTGAGATCTCTTTGAAGAGTTAGATGTACGTACTACCCCCTGCCAAGCATCTCTTCATATGACATTCTCCCAGCATTTCCACGATACATTTCCAAAACAGGAGCCTCTTCTTGAGGTCTTGAGGTCAAGGAATGGCATGGTCATATCCATTTGCCCATCCTAATTTTGAGCAACACTGAATGATCAAAGGCAAGCCATAAAGCAGACCAACAATTCCCATCCTTGTCACATGAGACAATTTTCTCTGAATTAAAAAACAGCAATCACCTCATTTTCTTATGCAGTTTTACCAACGAATTTGGAAGCAGAGTTATGCTTATTTGGTGTTTGGGATGCAATGTGGATCTCAGCAAAGACGCCCCTCTTTCACAGGCTTATCCATCTCATGCACCCTCTGACAGGAAAAGACATTTGGGGTATAACAGTTCATACGATGAACTGTTTCTTATTCCATTCACGCCAGATATACAGGCTGGAAATGATTTTCTTAAAATCTTAACCCTCCGATTCCTGGTCTTTTGTAGATAACCTATGGTTTCTCCTTCATTTTGATTTGCCTTGGAACAGCTCTCCCGGATACTCTGCCCTGTACATAGTGAACCTGAACTTTTTCTTGTTTTCTATTCCTCCTGATTTCGCAAGCCCCTTACTTACACAATGGCGACCATAGGGGATGCTGGCACCACAGGGGAGACAGTTTGCTATGTCATCATGCTGGTCCATGGCAGTTAATCTTATTTATTTCATTGATTTGAAAGGCAGAGTGCAGTGACAGGGGGGATTTTTCTTCTTTTTTTAATCTGCTGGTTGACTCCCCAAATGGCAGCAAACGCCAGGGCTAAGCCAGGCCAGAGCCAGGCCAGAGCCAAGAGCTTTCTCCAGGTCTCCCACATGAATGCAGGGGCCTAAGTAGCTATGTCATCTTTTGCTGCTTTCCCAACTGCATCCGCAGGGAGTTAGATTGGACTTGGTACAGCCTGGAGATGAACTGGATCTGCATGGGATGCTAGCACACTACAAGAAAGTAGATTAATGCACTATGCCCAGCACCAGCCCCAGTGGCAGGAAACGTTTAAACATTTATTTATATTTATTTGAAAGGCAAACTGTGTGTGTGTGTAAGGCAGAGATCTATTTGGTTCTCCCCCTAAATGCTCACAATGGCCAGGTCTGGGGACCAGGCACGAGCAATTCAACTTCAGGCTCCCACACAGAGGGCAGGAGCCCAAAAACTTGGGCATCAGCATCATCTGCTACTTTCCAGCTCAATGATCGGGACACTGGATGATCAACATAACCTTCGAGAAAGTCCGTCTCAGACTAAGGTTCCCCTTTCAGCAAGACGTCAGGTGTTGTCACACACGCAGTCACACGGTCTGCTGATCACCCCAAGAGCACACACCTTTAGTTTCGCTCCACCTGTGTTCATGCTACCACCACCCAGATGAGACACACCCACTACAACTGTAAGATCCATGTGGGGCCAGTGTTGCAGACAGCGGCCTCCTCTGTGAGTGCCTTTGGGGGATCAGCCAGCGAGTGGGAAATCTCTCACCCTTTAATTCAAACATACAAATTAAAAAAAAAATCTATTTACTTAAAAAAAAATGATGACCACTCATCATGAAGCTGTCCCTGATTATGCTACTTGATGCAGCTACGCATGCAGTGCCATCCCCTCTCAGGGTGCAGGGTGCTGTGCCATCCCGTCTGACACAGTGCAGGGTGCTGCGTTAATGCTTCAGGTTTTCTCTATTTAGATATGCTCATCTTGGGCCTGGTGCGATAGCTTAGTGGTTAAAGTCTTTGTCCTGCATGTGTTAGAAACCCATATGGTTGACGGTTCTAACCCCGACTGCCCTGCTTCCCATCCAGCTCCCTGCCTGTGGCCTGGGAAAGCAGTCAAGGACAGTCCAAAGCTTTGGGACCCTGCAACCACGTGGCAGACCCAGAAGAGCTCCTTGCTCCTGGCTTCAGATTGGCTCAGCTCCAGTTGTTGCGGTCACTTGAGGAGTGAATCATCAGATGGAAGATCTTCCTCTCTATCTCTCCTGCTCTGTATATCCACCTTTGCAATAAAGATAAAATAAATCTTTTAAAAAAAATAGATATGCTCATTTGAAAACCAAGAATTTTCATACACATATGAGAGATACAATTTGATCAAATACCTCCATAATGAGTATCCTCAGCAATTTCTTTTAAAAAGTGACACACACGTGTTAGTGAAAAATTTTGATGATAAAAGCAAACAAATTGTCATTACCAGTTCCCAGAACTTCCTTACACCCTGCAGGTCAAGCAGAATGGTATTTCACATTGCCCATAGAGAAAACATATCTTAGCCGCTGACCTGCTGCTCTCCGGGTCAGACAGGGGTGAGACACGATGATTATTTATGAGCCGTGTTGTGTAAGGATTTGTTGCCTCTGAAAGATGTCCCCTTGGAACACTTTCCTTTGCAGGAGAAAAGCTTCGACTTGAAGTGGGGGGTGTCCGAAATAGCAGTTCAGTATTAATCTGCTGGGAGTGGGAGGAAGACAAAATTTGAAAGGAATCATTTGACTGTGACGTCCCAGGTATGCTCTGCCTCTCCCCTTTGAGTGCCATCCGGGCAACGAGCCAGAGCAGCACCGAGCCACACACACGGCATCCAGAACTATCCTGAACGCGTCACACCACGGATTCCAACAGAGCAAGGAGACACATCCAGTCTACAAGCCAGTTACGATTAATGTTACATTTGAAACTGTATGAACAAAATAAAACCATAAAGACTATGCCACAGACTTACGTGGCCAAAAAACTGGAAGCAGAAAGATTTATTCCAGGTGACCCTTTACTGCATAACTTAAGAGGCCTAAGGACTCACTTTTTAAGAGAAAATAAAGACAATCATAAACACACTGCCTTTGGGGGAAGGGAACATAAAACAAAGAAAGTGCACTCACCACAAAATTCAAAAGTTAAAAAAAAAGAAAGAAAAAAGAAAGTGCACTGTTCTTTCCCCCTTCCTTTCTGGTTCTCCTCTCAAATCCTTAGCATCATAGTAAAAAACATTTGGTTGGGAAAGCAGCAGAGGACAGCCCAGGGACTTGGACTCATGCACACACGTGGGGACATCCAGAAGCTTCTGGTTCCTGGCTTTGGATGGGCTCAGCTCTGGCCATTGAGGCCACTTGGAGTGAAGCAGCAGATGGAAGAACTCTGTTATTCTCTCTCTCTATGTAACTCTGCCTTTCAAATGAATGGATTAATCAATCTTTAAAAAGCAAAAAACAAACAAGCAAAGAAGAACTGGAGAATTGTAATCGTAAGCAAACCTAAAAAGCGCAGCAGAGCAGAACGAGAGGTAAACCACCTACTCAGACTCACTCCCCGCCAAGGCTCTTAACACTGAACTCTGGCTGAGAAATGGCTGCCTGGCACTGGCACAGTGGGTAAGGCCGCCACGCGGGTTTCTAGTATCCCATACAGGTGCCAGTTTGAATCCCAGCTGCTCCACTTCAAATCCAGCTCCCTGTTAATGGCCTGGGAAAACCACAGAGGATGACCCAAGTCCTTAGGCCCCTGACCCATATGGGAAACGCAGACAAGGTTTCTGGTTTTGGCCCTGGCCACTGCGGCCATTTGGGAAGTGACCCAGCAGGCAATCTCTTTCTCTCTCCCTCTCTTTTTCTGTTTCTGCAATGATTCCTTCTGACAAATAAATGTTTAAAAACAAGAAAAAAAAAAAAAAAAAGAAATGGGAAGGCCAGGCAGCAGAGTTCACAGAGCGAATGAAACACCTTGTGGTGTGCGTTCGGTTAGCACAGAAAAGGGCTCCAGGCATGCCGTGCTGTTGTGACTTTTCCCCTTCACTGCCCTACAGTAAGATCCTTAGCAGAGTGCGTGCCTCTCCTCAGAAGCTGCCTAACTAAACAACACCAGCAAGCAGTCTGAGACTGCAGGGTTAGGAAGCAAGGGTTGGAAAGGCCAGTGAGGAGCAGGAGTCGGGGAGAAGGTGAACTACAGCATGCAAGTCCTAGCATTACATCAGTATTAGTTAAATACCATGATACATCTATAAACTGCAAGGCTTACCCGAGAAATTAATTCTGGTTGCCTGATCCTGAACTTTTCCTTGTTGCTTTAAGGGGGGAAAAAAAAATTACATTGCTGATTATTATTTCGGAAACCCATGTCCCAATGACATACCTGCCAGATCACTATATCAAATTACTTAGATTTCTTATTGAAGTAAGCTTCAATATCATTATAGCCAGTAGCCAGCTGTTATTTCTATGCAGGAGAATTTGTAATCCCCTTTTATCTCAATTAACATCCTAGGACTGAACTAGAGCTTTCTGTCTCAAAGCCATGAGTGGCAGACTTCTGAATTGGAACATCACACAGCTATCCAACTGGTTTCTTCGCTTTCAATACTGCTGTTGGATTTAATGAAGGAATGGTGCACAATAACCAAAGCCACTGGAAATGTCACGAACATGTTCTCAGTGTGTTCCCCTGGCTGACTATCCCTACGCAGCCTATCTCATCCCATTCCCATTCTTCCTCTCACATACTCAGCTCTGAGGCTGACAAAAGGCACGGTTCCCTACACCTGCTAACCTTGAGCATTTGCCCAGACCCACAAGGACAAGGTCTGTCTTCCTGAAGCCCCTGACCCATTTTTCCCCTGGCAGAAGCCCTCTTTGCTTGGGCGCCTCCCTACATGACTACATTGTATCTTCTACACACTGTTAGGGAACTCATCTCACCTTCTCTACTGACTATAAACTTGTAAGAGGAGTATTTACTTAGAATTCATTCACCTGCGTATCAGTCAAAACATAGATTCTCTTCTGCAGACGATTTTACAAAGAGTACACCAACAAAGAGCTGACTGAGCAGCAGCAGCCCACACTAACTTGCTATTCTGTCCTCCACAGCTGTACCTTTTCCCGTTATTCCAGCAGCCAGGGCTGCAGACACCCACTGCCTCCCACCACATGGGGATAGCACACTCACCTCTTTTTGTAGGTCTTTTCGTAGGTGGGATGCACCAGATCCTCATCTTCAGGTTCTTCTGGAACTTCACAATTTCTGGTCAGAAAAACCACATGGCAATAACACGTCACCAGTGCCTATTCAATACTCTTAAATAGTACAGTGTCTGCAGGGTACTACCAACTATATGGTACCTGAACTGCGGGTCAGGGTTATTGGAGCAATACCATTTTTCTGGAAGTTGATCTATCCCATCTGGTAATTTTCGCCACTTTAGACAGGAATCACACTGAACCCATGTCTGATCAGGACGTTTCCTTTATTATAAAAACAAAATAAAACAAAACAAAACATAAGCATTAAAAAAATGGAGACAAATACCTCATTAAGTTTTTATCATTGTGGAACCAGTGTGATGGTGCTACAAGCTAGTCCTCCAGCATGTGGTACGGGCATCCCTTTACGGGCATCAGTTCATATCCCATCTGCTTCACGTCCAATCCAGCTCCCCGCTTATGGCCTGGGACATTAGTCTAAGACAGGACAAAGCCTTGGGACCTTGCACCTGTGTGGGAGACCAGGAAGACGATCCCAGCTCTCTGCTTTAGACCAGCACTGTTCTGGCCACTGCGGCCATTTGGCAACAGAATCAGAAAATGCAAGACTTTCTAGCAAGCTCTCCTTTCTCTCTAAAGTTTGTCTTCAAAATAAGTATTTTTTAAAAATAAAAATGCTAGTCTTCATTGTTCCTACCAAAAAATGAATGGTACTTAATTTCTTTCCTGAAAATTCCATAACATAAAAAAGTTTATTGCACAGTAATTTGTACTTTTTAAAAGAACTGTTTCAGATTATCTTTATAGATAAACTTCAGCAAGGTGATTTAAATGTTTTATTTAACAGTATACTATTACATATGACTTGTGATAATGACAACCTAAAAATGTTTCCAAAAGCCTTGGCCAGAAATTTATTTGTTATCAGGTACAAGTCAAGTGTGCAGTAAAATCTATTATGAATATGACGCAACAAACCACTCTACCACAAAAAAAGTTAGAAATTATTCTTGTCAAGAATTTCAGCATATTAATTTTGTATTTGATTAATCTACCTTAATTTTGTTTTGTTTAACATATTTTTACTTATTTGAAAGTCAGAGAAACAAAAATCTTTAATGCACTGGTTCACTTCCCTAATGCCATTTAAGTCTGGTCCTGGTCAAAGCCAGAATGCATGAACCACTGTGGTCCATAGGATGAGTGGCAAGGGCACAGGTACCTGAGCCACCCCTGCTGCTTCCCAGGGAGTGTGCCAGCACTAAGCTGGATGCAAAGCTGAACCACAACTAGACTGCTGTATGGGCTAAGGATGTCGAAGAAGTGGCTTCACCATTGCCCCAAACACCTGCAACATGCCTTTTAAAGCCAGTTTTCAAAATCTTATTTACACATTAATGTAAAACTTTAAAACAATCCAGAAATTGATAAAGTAAAAATTAACACTTTATTTCAGAATACGACGTTTTCATTTTTACTTGAAAGGCAGATTTACAGAGAGGGAGACAGCTTCCATCCACTGGTTCATCTCCCAGTGCCCACAGTAGCTAGAGCTGAGCTGATGCAAACGTAGGAACCAGGAGCCTCTTCCCCATCTCCCACATGGATGAAGGACCCCAAGGACTTGTGCCATTCTCAGCTGCTTTCCCAGACCCTAGGCAGGAAGGTGAACAGGAAGTAGAGGAGCCAGGATAGGAATTGGTGCCCATGTGGGATACTATGTTGCAGGTGGAGGATTAGCCTGATAAGGCACTGCGCCTGCTGCTAGCAGAAATTTATAGCTTTATATACAGATACTTGGGGGGGGGGAGGAATAACACATAGAATCTACAGTGAGCATTGTAGCATACCACATTACATCACTATTTCAGATTTGATAAACAACAGTAGAAAGCAAAAAGTCGAATCCTGCTTCTACTTTTATTCAGTTTCTAACACATGCCCCACAAGGGGAATACAAAGGGTCAAGTTCTTGGGCGACCTGGAGGACATTCCTGGCTCCTGGCAGCAACACGATCCAGCCCCAGCTGTTGTGTGAGTTGGAACAGTGAACCAGTAGTGAGAAGATCTGTCACTTGGTCTTAAAAAGAATTCAGCTTAAAAAAAATGACACGGATGGGGACAAGAACCGTGGCACAGCACATTAAGGCACAGGCATCCCATATCCAAGTGCTTTTTCAAAGTGGCTCCGTTTCCAATTCAGTTCCCTGCTAACAAAACTGGGAAAGCACCATATGGCGGCCCAGGTACGTGGGTCTCTTGTTACTCCTATGGAAGATGCAGATGGAATATCTGGCTACTGGCTTCAGCACGGATCATCATAAGCCAGCAGGGAGATCTCTATCACCTTGTCTTTCAAACACATAAATTTTTTTTAAGGATTTATTTATTTATTGGAAAGTCAGATATATAGAAAGGAGGAGAGACAGAGAGCAAAATCTTCCATCCGATGATTCACTCCCTAAGTGAGCACAACGGCCGATGCTGTGCCAATCCGAAGCCAGGATCCAGGAACTTCCTCCAGGTATCCCACACAGGTGCAGGGCCCCAAAGCTCTGGGCCGTCCTCGACTGCTTTCCCAGGCCACAAGCAGGTAGCTGGATGGGAAGTTGAGCGGCCGGGATTAGAACCGGCAACCATATGGGATCCCAGCGCATTCAAGGTGAGGACTTTAGCTGCTAAGCCACATTGCCAGGCCCCAAACACATAAATTTGTTTTAAAAAAAACAGTGAGAAATGCATGCACTGAACTTCAGCCTTGTTTTCCACTATGTACGAGTGTAGATGGATTTGCTCACTCAGTTACGAGAATATCAATATGCATATGTCAGGAAGTCCTTGTCAAGCACCAGACAACTGGAGGAAGTGTCATGAGGACAGAAGCTTATAGGAAGGAGCCTGGGTAGTATGTTAAATGCCACATGGTTACTTAGAAGAATTAGAAACTCAACTCAAGTTTGGCTTCAGAATGTAATTCTACTACACTCAAAGTTTTTCAAACAGTTAGATGTAATCCATTAGTGAATCATGAAATTAACCTAATGGCTGGGTTTCAGGACGGGGCATCTCATGCCCGGATCCTGGACGCCAGTCACCACGTGCACGTAGTAAGCTGTCCCCGGGCCTGTCTGGGCTCCAGGGACTGCTCCCTTTGGGGTGAGTACACCGACCGAGGAGAGGTCTGCCGGCCTCATTGAGCAGTGGATGGGATTGGGGAGGGGCACAACATTGGGCCTGGGAGTTTAAACTTCCTGCAGCCTCTTGGCTGTAAGTGGGTCCTGGGACAGGATGTCTCATGTCTGGATCCTGGGCGCCAGCCACCATGTGCACGCCTGCTGGCTGCCCGGCTGGGGAGCTCTCGGGTTTTAGTTCTTTGAATCACTGCTTAGGCAGCTCCAGGTTGAACCCACTGTGCTTAAGGGATGTGAGTCAATCCTTAAGATTCCCAATGACAAAGTTCTTCCTTTGAACAACTTGTAATCACTTAACAATGCTGAGCACCGAACACCAGTTCATGCAGAAGCTATGGCTTATGGCTTGTGCTGCAGAATTATATCATGTTACCTGACATGATGATGGATCAGCAGACGGGTCACATTATATAGGGCAATGACATTAACTAGCACTCTAGAACCATATCCGGGGGTAGATTCTGTGAGGGATGGGTGGGTCACATCCTGTAGAAATTCTAGCCCCACGGGTTAGCTCAAGAGTCGGGGTGGTGATCGACTAATCTAACTATAACCAAGGAGCTTGCCATCAATCACAGGTAAGGGAACCCGCAACAGTCTGGACTGGTCAGAGCAGCAGCACCCAATTGTGCATCCTGAATAGGGTGTGGGGTGGGCCAGGCTGCAGCGTTCACCAGCTCACATACATGGCCAAATGGAAGGCCAGACTGTTCTGGGACTGGCCTAAACCCAATGGCATGTATGAGAACTGTGTCTGGGAGTGGATCAAGTGGAGGAACTTGGGAAACTCCCCTGGCGAGTCTCAGCTCCCGCTGGTGAACATGTGATCCAGACCTGGGGGTTGGACAAGCTGGGCAAAGTAGATCCAATGGCTGGCCATTGTGTGAATTGGTAATGGAGCACGATGTACTAGGCAGGACTGAGCAAACCTTAGCCCACAAGTTAAACTAGAAACCAGGATGGAGCACAGGTCATGCCAAGCTAGGCTCTTGCACCTACTGGTCTACATGAGTTAGGAACACTAAGCCACAGTGTCTTAGGCAGAGGCCTGGACAGGTGAGGGGCTGAGCCAAGCTGAGTCAGAGCAACCACTGGCATGTGCATCATCTATGGCTGGGAACAGGCCCTGATGGGGAGCAAAGGGACACCCTAGCTGGTTGGAGGTTCCCACCAAGGGGCGTGTCGGCTGGAATGGGGGCTGTGTTCTGATCAGCATACAGATATAGTCTCCCTTGGCAAAAGTGTGGACTGGCACTGGATACACCAAGCTGGGCCAGACCCCAACACCCTCTGGTGTCCTGGAGGACCAGGGTAGATGTGGGATGGACTAGGCTAGGTCTCAACCCCTAGTGAGCCTTATGTGAGCCATACGTGGGTATGGACAAACCATGGCTGGGCTGAAACATCCAACAGCAAGAACCAGACTGAGTTAAAGGCCAGTCAGGAAAAGCCACTGTTTCTGCTATGACAGGAGGTGAACTGAGTAGGCCTCGCTCATGAACCCCTGGTATGTGCAAAATCTGGCATTGGAAGGGGTTCTGATGAAGTAGCCTGGGCAACTCCTCTGGCAGGACACAGTCCCTGCAGGTAAGCACAAGCAGCATGATAGGAAACAGCTCAGAACAGGCCATGAAAAGTTACCCACTGGCATACAATTGGCATGGGTCAGGGGCAGACCAGGCTGAATCAGTTCACGTCATCCACTGGCAAATCCAAGCACCAGAACAGAGTGTGGGTCGAGCCAAGTTTGGTCACGACAAAAACCAGTCCACAATACGGAATGCCAAGGTGAGGTTGCCTGAACCAGATGTGACTGCAGCACCCAATCAGCATGCATGAGAACCAGGAAGGGAGGAGGCCAAGCCAGCAGGGAGAATAAGGGGGGGGGGTTCCCTTGCTGGACAGCTACTCCCACTGGAGAGTGTGAGCTGGGATGGGGGCAGTCCAGACTAAGCAGGGCTACATCACCTGTGTGCCTCATGTGGACTAGATCAGGGAAAAGCCAGGCTGGGCTGATTGTTCCTACTGGTACAAACAAAATTAGAGTGGGCGAGGGTTGTTTGGGCTTAGCCACAGCATCAGCTGGCAGAAGCTGGCACTGAGGGCTAATTCTGTCAAGTCAAACCACAGAACTATCTGGAGAATGCATAATCTGGGAGTGAGAGAGACCTGGGAGGGAAATAGTGGGCTCCTCCCTCTTGGGTTACCACTTCCACGGGAGGGCATGAAAACTAGGACAGGGGCTGGGGTGGCTAGACAGAGAGGCACTCAACAACATTCGTGAAGGCTAGATAGTGGAGCTTGTTAGATGGAACTAAGCTTTAATAGCCATCGACATGTACAAGAGCTAAATGGGATGTGGGACAGACTGGACTGACTAGTCTGCTACACATACTGGCAAACCAGGGTAGGGGACGGGCCTGGTGGGGGTTATTGCGAGTCGCTCTGACTAGGCTGCAGCTCCCACTGGTTTATGCGAGGGCCGAGTATATGCTGGGCAGAACCAGGCTGGACTGTAACACCCATTGGTTCCAGTGGAAGTCGGGTCTGAAAACAGAACCAACCCAGCAACTGCAACCACCAGCTGCTGATCAGGGCGATGGACTGTGCCCTGTGCTTGCTAGAACACACAAGAATCTGGTCTGGGAACACCTCAGACAAAGTTTCTTTGGGCATCTCCCCAATCGAAATGCCAGACTCAGAACCTTAACCAAAAAAAGACAGAAGATAGAACAAGTCAATCAACTACCTCAGCTATGTGTTAGCAGCGAAATACTGGGTAAATGGAGACTTTATTAGGGACTGTGTCAATCAGCGGATTCTTCAACAACCTCATCGTGCTCGGAGTGGTGAGATTGGCATTGACTCATAACTGGTGAACTATCGAAACCACTTGTGCAAGTATCTCAGAGCATGCCCCATATCCGGGACCTGGGGTGGGTGCGAAACTGGGTGGGGCTTCTCCCTCAATATTCCCTTTACCTCAGATACATGAAAGAAACAATATGAAAATAATAGTCTTACCCACCTTCCTATAGCTCTTGAACCTTATTACCCTAATTAACTATGTAAAGATTGTCAAAAATATAATAATAATAAAAAAAAGAAATTAACCTAATGGGTCAAGGTAACAGTTTTTCAACCACTGCTTCCTGAATGTATACAAAGCATACATGTCTACACCCCTTCATCTACTCTGTGCTGTGCTGACTCATGTTGCACAAAGTTTTACGATGCTAAGTTGGAGTTGTAACCTTGTAGAATATTCTATAAATACCACATTTTAGTATCAGAGTGAAGTTTTTCTCTTTTAAAAGAATATACTCACTGTATATCTTCAACTGGCAAATTTAGAGGATATTCTGAATTTTTCTTCACTTTCATTTCATTCCAATAATCATTCAGTTTGTCTCCCAGTGCTTGTATTGTAAGCCTTAAAGGAGTAAATTACAACATCCATTTAAGAAAAACTTTAATATAGAAATAAATCTTTGCAAATGCAAGAAAGCATAAACCATCTATTTATACAAACACATGGACACTGTGAGGACTAGAACCTTCTAAATCGGAACAGAATATTTAAAGTACAGTAACTGCCCCCGGGAAACTTCTCTCAGTTACCTAGGGCCGTGTTGAGAAAATGCGATCAGGGAGACCCAGCAGCCTTTATAGCTCAAGCCCAAAGAAGCAGCTTACAACCTTCAATTCCAATTGGAACTCAAACTCCTGGGATGTAAAAATAAACTACCAACAGGAACACTTCAAAACAGCTTGTGTTCCACAATAAAAACTCTGACCACTTCTTTATTTTCTTTTGTGCAAGCAGAGAGATAGACAAAGAGATCTTCTATCTGCTGGGTCACTCTGAAAATGGCCCCAACAGCCAGGGTTGGCACAGACCAAAGTCGAAAGCCCAGAGTTGTACTGGGGTCTCTGACCTGGATGCCAGGACCCACACAGCTGCCTCCCATGGTACACTGAGGGGAGCTCAACAGCAGCAGAGCAGGCAAGACTCAACCAGTGCTCACAGTGGATGGCCGTGTCACTAACCACATTCCAGTGTCAGCCCAAGCAGAACTTTCTGTTCACTGGTTAAGATGTCACTTGCAACACTGCATCCCATAGTGGAATGCCTGGGTTCAAATCCTGGCTCTGCTTCCAATCCAGCTTCCTGCTGTACATATTTGTACAGGCAGCAGGTAAGAGCTCAAGTACCAACAACCCTGCTATCCCGTGGAAGACCTAGAATGGGTTCTGGGCTCTTGGCTTTGGCCTGCTCTGGCCCTAAAATTGCAGGCACTTAGGCAGAGGCCCAGTCCCAATGCTGCCGGTATGTGGGGAGTGAACTAGTAATGTGTGCCTTTCAAGTGAAATGAAATGAAGCCATGTACATTGAACACAAGTCCCAGAAAATGAAAAATTCTGAATTTAAAATAAAGCTTAAAAAAATCAAGACTTCAGCATTTTCTACTCTGGCAGGTTCCTATTAGACATGGCTATTACCTTATAAATTATCTCTAACTTTCCCCCTGTTCACTTTATTTATTTATGTGCTGGATAGAGACACAAAGCAACACTGTAAGAGAGGGAGGCAGGGATTGGATGACTATTTAAATGAGCCATCAGCCAGAACCAGACTGAGGTCAAGGCCAGGAACAGGGGCTCAAGCACGATCTCCCATGTGAGCACAAGCACCATCTACCTGAGCCGTCACCACTGCCTCCCAGTGTCTGCACTGGCAAGAAGCTGGAGCTGCAAGCTACAACACAGCATCAAACCAGGGACTCAGACAGGTATGCACGAATCTTAACCAGCGCCTAAGCCTTGAAGCCAGGTTCCTACACCTCCTGCCCGCTTTAGCCTTCTCCAACAATTCCCCTTATCAACCATAAATGTCAAAATAAGAACAAATCTTTGCTCCTAAACTTGGCATTCCATTTTGACTCTTTGCATCTCTTTTTTTGTTGTTGGTGGTCTTCTTTCTTCACATCTCTCTTCTCAAACTCTGATTCCTCAAGCCATGAGACTGTACAAACTCCAATTGAGAACACGTCTGGAAGCAGTACCTGCAAAGCCACAGGGTCTGCACTGAAGTGCAGCCTTACTCAACAGGCTATTACAGTCTCTCCACCTGCCAGCAAGACGTACAGGGGGGCATGTACTGCCTCGGCTCTTGTCAACACCTGCTATAAAGCCTTCTCACCTTCACTTGCTCCACTTCTGGCCCATCACGATCAGCACTTCTGTGCCCTACTGAAAAGGTCACGAAAACAGTTTTCTTTCCTTTTTGGTTTTCATTTAGGGTGAAGATACTTGAAACTGATTTTTACTCCACAGGCGGGAGTTTTAGGTCAATTTTGTCCACATGAACAGTTAACTTATTTAGCATTCAGGAAAGATAATCATTTTCCCACCATACAACAATCCAACCTTTGATATAAAAAGCTATTGGTTCGTGTAAAAATAATCAAATGGCTCAGCACTGTGGCCCAGGGTTAAGACGCTGCTCGCAAAGCCACCATCCCACATGGGTGCCATTTAATATCCTAGCTGTTTCACTTCCTTTCCAGCTCCCTGCTAATAGCCTGAGAAAAGGAAAGAATGGACAAAGTGTTTGGGACACTTCCGCTCACATGGGAGACCCAGATGAAGTTTCTGGCTTCAGCCTGTCACAGTCTGGGTAGTTTTGGCAAATGAACCAGCAGATGGAAGATCTCTTTCTGTGCCTCTCCCTCTCTATAATTCGGACATTTAAATTTAAAAATCTTTAAAAAGTTGTGTGTAGGAGGTTTGGCACATTAGCCTAGTGGCTAAAGTCCTTGCCAGGATCCCATATGGCCATCGGTTCTAGTTCTGGCTGCCCTGCTTCCCATCCAGCTCCCTGCTTGTCACCTGAGAAAGCAGCTCAAGATGGCTCAAAGCTTTGGGACCCTGCACCCGCGTGGGAGATCCAAAAGAGGCTCCAGGCTCCTGGCTTCAGATCGGCTCGGCTCTGGCTGCAGCAGCCACTTGGGGAGTGACTCAAAGGACAGAAGATTTTCCTCTCTGTGTCTCCTCTCCTCTATATATCTGACTTTCCAATAAAAATAAAATAAATCTTAAAAAAAAAAAAAAAAAAAGAGCTGCATGTTGAATCCAGCACCATTGCACAGTAGGCTAAGCTTCAGCTTATAGTGCCGATATCCCAAACAAAAGTAAGTTCAAGTCCCGGCTGATCCACTTCCAATCCAGCTCCCTGCAAACAGTTTGGGAAAGCAGGAGAAGATGGCCCTTGCCCTTGCGTCCGTCCACCCATGGGGGAGACCCAGAAGAAACTTCTGGGTTTAGACTGGCTCAGCTCCAGCCAGTGCCACCATTTGGGGAATGAACCCGGAGGGTGGAAATTCTCTCTCTCTGTGTCTATCGATGTGTCTGTAACTTTGCCTTTCAAGTAAAAATAACAGATTTTTTTTTTAATTGGAAAGGCAGATCAGATTTACAGAGAAGTAGAAACAAAGAAAAAGATCTTCCACCCACTGGTTTACTCCTCAACTGGTCACAACAGACAGAGCAGAGCTAATCCAAAGCCAGGAGCTAGGAACTTCTTCTGGGTCTCCCACGCCGGTACATGGTCCCAAGGCTTTGGGCCGTTCTTTATTGCTTTCCCTGGTCAAAGACATGAAGCTAGATTGGAAGTAGAGAAGCAGGGACATGAACCAGCACCCATATGGGATCCTGGCACTTGCAAGGTGAGAATTGGCCATTGAGCCATCATGCTCATGGGCTAAATGAACCCATCTTTTTCCATACCAAAAATAAATGTTAAAAAAAAAAAAAAAGATTTGTATGAGACTGACGCAACTTTTTTTTTTTTTTTTTTGGAAAGGCGGATATACAGAGAGGAGAGACAGAGAGGAAGATCTTCCGTCCGATGATTCACTCCCCAAGTGACCACAACGGCCGATACTATGCCGATCTGAAGCCAGGAGCCTCTTCCGGGTCTCCCACGCGGGTGCAGGTTCCCAAAGCTTTGGGCCGCCCTGGACTGCTTTCCCGGGCCACAGGCAGGGAGCTGGAAGGGAAGCGGGGCTGCCGGGATTAGAACCGGCGCCTATATGGGATCCCGGGCGTGCAAGGCGAGGACCTTTAACCACTTGCGCCACCGCGCCGGGCCCTGATGCAACTTTTCAATGTCCAAATTCAGTAAATGGGAATTTTCTAAAATAAACCAGGGATGTGCATTGCAGCTTAGCAGCTTAAGTCAATGCTCGGAAGGCCCACATCCCACATGGGAGTGCCCAGTTCAAGTCCAGGTTCTTCCACTTTCAATCCAGCTTCCTGCTAATGTATCCCAAGAGGCATCGAACAATGGCTAAAGTACCTGGTCACCAGTCTGTCTGTCAGCGTGTGGGAAACCAAAGTAAAACTTTGGGCTCCTCAATTTTGCCTGGCCCAGCCCTGTTACAGCAATGTGAGCAAGCAGCAAACAGAACACTTCTATTTCTCTGCTTTTTAAACAGATGAAAACAGAAATTTAAACAGTAAAGATTAATTCAATTCCAAAATTAAAAAGTCTGGGTCATCCAAAGTGACGTTCGCCTACTGCTTAGGTCTCTGCGTCAGCAAGATCATACAATGACCTCCATTTCGGTTAGGTTATGGAAAACCTGTATTTCCTCCTTTTTTTCCTTAACCAGTTTTAAAAGGTGCTTATAAATTTCACTAATATTGAGAACAAACTTTCAGCTTTTTGTTTGTGTCAGTTCTCAACTTACTGCCTTTCAGGTTCAAATCCAGTGCAGCATTCAACTGCTGCGCTTTGGACACAGCCCTTCAGGCACACAGGGAGATGGAGACTGGCCGTCACAGCACAGCCTGCACTCCAGCACTCCCTGCTGATGCCACCAGCCCACAGCCTCCACTGCACAGCGCCTTCTGCAGACGGGCTGCAGCCCACTCCACCCCGAAAGGGCTAAGCTGCCTGCTCATAACAGCACGTGCCAGCCTTCTAGGTCCCCACAAAAACGACTGACTCCTCTTAATGTTTACAAGTTTATCTGGCTAAAGTTCTTTCCGTCTTATGGATAACTTCATATTTAATAGCAAAACCATCACCACTCTACAGAACTTTCAGAAAATGTATGAGTGAGACAATATCAATGAACCCATCTTTTTCCATCTCAGAAGCAAAATGAATACATCAAAAGTAGCATTTTTTACCAGCATTACTGATGAGTTCTGGCCAAAGTTGAAGAAAATTAAGTAAATGCCTTTTATTTTATTAAAGATTTATTTTTATTGGACAGTCAGATACACAGAGAGGAAGAGAAACAGAGAGGAAAATCCTCCATCTGCTGGTTCACTCCCCAAGTGGCCACAAAACGGCCAGAACTGAGCCGATTTGAAGCCAGGAGCAGGTTTCCGGGTCTCCGACACAAGTGCAGAGTCCCAAGGCTTTGAGCCATCCTCCACTGCTTTCCGAGGCCACAATCAGGGAGCTGGATGGGAAGCAGGGCTGCCAGGATTGGAACTGGCACCCATATGGGATCCCAGCGTGTTTAAAGCATGAACTTTAACCTCTAGGCTACTATGCCAGGCCCAAATGCCTACGTTTATTATTTATTTATTTATTGCTATTCCATTTCCTGTTGCAATCACTAACTTAAATAGGTTACATACCTGTATTCATTGGTGTAATCAAAATCTTGCTTATTATGAGTTGGCTTAAGGAAATTACATTCTATAATTCCAACTACTCCAACACCCATGTTGTTTGCCTGAAACAAATGAATAAATAGATGAAATCAGCATTTAAACATAAGCCATGATTATTGGGAGGACAACAAGGAACCCCACCAGTGTGAGACCATAACCAGCTGTTATCTTGTGGAAAACTCCAACCACACAGGGCAAAGGTCCAGAAGCAGCTGGAATAAAAAAGCATGGACCTAGGAACTCCCTAATGTTCAAGCCATGACAGCAAATGCAAGAGGCCTTTCTTCTAGCATATGCTGCTTAATCATTAGCCTATTACAAAAAGATACTGTCCACTGACTGAAACCTCCCCAACCCCTTGCACACCTGCATGGAAATGGCATCCTGTTTCAGATCCTCCTCCTTAGGCCTACAAGATCCTCAGTCTTTAAAAGTCTTTTGCTGGGCCCTGTGGAGTGGCCCAGCGGCTAAAGTTCTCGCCTTGAATGCACCAGGATCCCATATGGGCACCGGTTCTAATCCCGGCAGCCAATTCATGTCCCGGCAGCTCCACTTCCCATCCAGCTCCCTGCTTGTGTTTGGGAAAGCAGTCAAAGATGGCCCAAAGCCTTGGTACCCTGCACCCGTGTGGGAGACCTGGAGGAAGTTCCTGGATCCTGGCTTCGGATTGGCACAGCACCAGCCATTGCATTCACTTGGGGAGTGAATCATCGGACAGAAGATCTTCCTCTCTGTCTCTCCTCCTCTCTATATATCTGACTTTACAATAAAAATAAAAATAAAACTTTAAAAAAAGTCTTTTGCTATTGATAAACTTTGGCTGTTGACCATCAGTCAGTAAACCGTGTGTGTGCTCATCTGCTTCATGTACCAAGTGCCTTGCTGCTGGACAGTGACATATTTACCCAAGTTACAAATCCAACTGCTAACCATGTTCAGGTTCAGTCTGCAGAGTTAGCCCCTTTAAGTGCTGGTCATGAAGACGCTGAACCGGAAGCCTATTCTGCATCTCTGCATCCTGTTCTACGGACGCTCCATGGAAAGCCCCCTTCCTTCGGCACCACACGCTGTCCTTTGCAGCTCCTCAGTCCACTGCTCTCCGTCAGCCACTGCCAAGGACTTTCCCCGTGTCTGTAAATGTTCACTCGATCTGGACAGTCCTGCCCACCATCTCCAAAGCAGCAAAGTGACCAAGAGATCTAATTCACCCCTTTTTCCAAGAAGCCCCTTCAGCTACTTGCAGGATTCCTTCATCCTCTCACCAAACTAAGCTCTGGATGTTAACAGCGTTGCATGTAGAGCACAAAGAAAGGTAAACCATATGAAGTGATACCTATTTCATAAATGTTTACTCAACACACAGAATGTGAATCCCCGTCAGCTGGTAAAGACAAACATTGGCTACTTTAACAAGCCTATCTTTACATATTCAAGCTTAATATACAGACTTCACTGGCCTGGAAAAATGGGCCATGTTTTCATTATATCAAATTCACAAATGATACAAGGCAAATTCAGGGCTCAGCACAATAGCCTAGTAGCTAAATCCTCACTTTACATCCACTGGGATCCTATATGGCGCCAGTTCACGTCCCAACTGCTCCAGTTCCCTTCCAGCTCCCTCCTTGTGGCCTGGGAAAGCAGCAGAGGATGGCCCAAAGCCTTTGGGATCCTAAACCCATGTGGGAGACCCAAAAGAGGCTCCTGGCTTTGGATCAGCTCAGTTCTAGCCATTGAGGTCACTTGGAGAGTGAAAAAGCAGATGAAGAGCTTTCTCTGTGTCTCCTTCTCTCTGTAAATCTGACTTTTGAGAAAAATGAATAATCTTTAAAAAAACAAAAAAGGAAAAACCATAATTTGTTGTGTAGCAGAAACCCGGAATAAGTGCCATTGTTATCTTACAGCATGGCTACTAGATTTTTACATTTAACTTCTGACTGCAATTAACGGTTGCAAAGAAGGCAGCAAAGTTCATTTATTTGCACAGAAATGTTATATTCTGAGCTCATGCATGGTCTGAGATGGAGCAGGGTGAATGACTGCTGGTTAGTGTTCATGGTAAGTTCACATCATTCAGCAAAGAATTTAAAATGAAACACAATGAACAGAAGGTGAAAATCAGATAATTCAAATATTTTTGTATTTTTATATGCCTAGTCTTATTAAACCCTTTTTAACAAGGTTGATTCTCTGAATTCTGAACTTCTTAAAAAAAAAAAAAAGAAGAAGAAGAAGCAAACACCCCATGAGGAGCTAATGTTGTAAAGTGGTTAAGCTACTGCTGGCAGCAACAGTGTTGAGTCCCAGCTGTTCCACTTCCAATCCAGCTTCGGGCTAATGCATCTGGGGAAAACATGGAAAATGGCCCAAGTACTTGGGCACCTGCACCCAAGATGGAGACCTGGAAGCAGCTCATAGCTGCTGGCTTCAGATCAGCTCAGCTCCTGCCACTGTGGCCATTTAAGAGACTGAACCAGTGGAACAAAAAGCTTCTATCTATCAACTCCACCTTTCAAATGCACAGATTGTTAAAATGAAAAGGCTCCTTTATGCAAATAGGTAAGGGATGGACAGACAGACTGCCCTTGCAGGCCATGTTGACCATCCTAAAATGAATGCCAACACAACGGAAGTTACTGAGGTTAATTCTAATACCTACAGGAACTAGCTCCAGCAAAGCACACCATCTCCTGGAGACTGCTCTCCCACTGCTGCAGTCAGCACCAAGGAAATGGCATCGTGTCTGTGCAAAATGAAACCACAGGATCCATATCCACACACAGTCAGACCATTCTGACTCGTTCCCACACTCACTGCTAGATCGCTGCATAACCTAGTTTCTCCCTTACCTATAAAATGGGAAATATTCTGCACCCTCACAAGATTGTTCAAGATCAAATGAGAAATTAGTACAAAGTTCAAATGCCACACTAATGTTAATTAAAAGCACTGACATTTTAAAGAAAAGCATAGTAAAATCATTTTACATTTGACCCAGTAACATAAACTGTTCTAGCTTATGTAAAAAAGATGACATTCCCTTTTCAAACATTAAACTTACCCTTAACTGACATCCAACTTTTTCATAAGCTTTGATGAGTCTGTTTCTGTGATACATCATTATCCCATAATGATCCTTATTTCTGCAGTTGAATCCAAAAGTAATTCTCACTGTTTTAGTCTCAAAATGTTAAGGAAATCACAAACACACTTTACCCTCTCAGATCAAAAGTACACAAAGAAGAGCAAAGCTGGGCAGCAGGGACTCCGTTAACAGGAAAGAGACCGGCCAACGGGGAATTCGCCTGACTGACACACAGCCACACAGAGAACCACCCCGGGAAAAACAAAGGATACTAAAAATTTGGGCCGATAAACATCCCGTTCGATGTAGGCAAGGCTCTTGGACACGAGCTGCGTCTTCACTTTCTGCCCGCGAAGGATGATCTGCATCCTTGGCTTCAGATACAAGATACTGCAGTAAGCCTGCGGGAAGAACATAATGGCATCTGTCCTTTCTAAATGGTTATCTACAGATTTGCTCCACATCAGTTAGATGTCTTAAAAAAGGAACCACTAATTCTTCATTAAAACATAGACTGTAAAGTTATTTTAGTTACTCTGGTCATGTCTCATCAGAATCAACTCAATAAACTATCGTCTGTAGAAATAATTGACAGAAGGATCCCATAATCCGTGTGGTAGCCTAGCTACTAAAGTCCTCGCCTTGCATGCACTGGGATCCCATAAGGCCGTCGTTTCCTGTCCTGGCCAGCCCTGTTTCCCATCCAGCTCCCCTGCCTGTGTCCTGGGAAAGCATTTGAATATGGCCCAAAGCCTTGGAACCCTACACCCACATAGGAGATCCCGAGGAAACTCCTGGCTCCTAGCTTCGGATCAGCTTAGCTACAGCCATTGCAGCCACTTGGGGAGTGAATCATCAAAAGGAAGATCGTCCTCTCTCCTCCTTTGTGGATATCTTATCTGACTTTCCAAAAAAAAAAGTAAATCTTTAAAAAAAAATGACTTAGGAGGTCACTAAAAAAAAAAAAAAAAGGAGTTAAAAGGTAGGTTACTTTAAAGTTCAGTTTTTCCATAATATGCATTCCATAACAATTCCTCACATGTTCTTCCATGCCTGCCACCAAGCTATCAGAAATCCCTGGAGAAAATGCACTGAGGAACTCAAAAAGGATTGTTAAAGGTTCAACACAAACTGCAAGTGCAACACTTCTCTTCCTCTTCCTAACTCCTGAATTCACAGGCAGTGTTTTCTCATTTATAAAATTCATAAGAAACACGTCTGTACATGTTAGATTTGGGCAAGGCTCTCAGCAGGCAGGACGCGCCACAGGAACACGGCAAGCGCCTGTGCCTGTAATCCCCAGGACCTCAGAACAAGTCACACAGCAACCTGCAACCACCAAACAAAACCTCAGCTGGGTTCTGCAGTAACTCTAATAAAAAAAAAATAAAAAGCAAAAAGCAACATATATTATCATAGCAAGCAACAAGCTTAACATTCTTCATTAATCAACATGGTTTTATCAAAACATTTCCTTATTTACACTTAACTACATACCTAGATCTAAAGTTGTTTTAGACATAGTTATCACAATATTGAATAAAGAACACCATAACTTACAATTTATTGCTTTAGAAAAACAAGTGAGATTAGCAATGTATTGCTACATTATAAACATTCTTTTAAGGTTCTGAATCTGGGTTTTCCTAACTGAATATGACCATCTTACTGACACAATGATTCCAGCATCACCCATTCACATAATCTATACCAGTACTTTTATAAATCTGACCATTTTGTAACTTAAAAAATATTTTCTAAGCAAATCAAACACGTGAGCTAATGAACAGTTCGTAAATCTGAGAAGAGCGGCATCCTCTATCACACACACTCTCCCGGCCATCGCACTAGCTGTCACTCGGGTCCGCAGGGCCGAGCACACACCCTCAGGGAATAGTCGCTTTCGGGGGCAATCTGGTCCACTCGCTCCTGCTTCTTGTATCCCTTTTTGCCAGTCGCCTCATCCAAATCCTCAGGAATCCGGATGTCATATTTATCCTTGTCAAAATCAAACTCTGTTGCATTTTTGTAGCTATAAAAACAATTTTCAGAAAGAAAAAACGATTTACTTATTTGCAGCATTATAAGCAAGAAAATACATTCAGTATAAACATGACACTCCTGTCTGCTTACCTCAGACAAATGAAGACTATATTTCTACCAAAACTTGCATGTGAACATGAACAGCTTTTTGTAACAGGTAACTCTAAGCAATCAGATGTTTTAGTACACAAAGCAATACCACTCAGCAAAGGGGAAAACCAAACACACACAAGAACCTTAATGAATCATCAGAAAATTACAGCAAATGAAAAAAAATGTCAATCCCAAGGATTCCTACTACATTTTACATTTTCTTAAAGATTAATTTATTTTTATTAAGACTATATACATAGAGGAGGAGAGACAGAGAGGAAGATCTTCCGTCCGATGGTTCACTCCCCAAGCGGCCGCAATGGTCACAGAGGAGCCGATCCACAGCCAGGAGCCAGGAGCTCTTCCTCCAGGTCTCCCATGCAGGTGCAGGACCCCAAGGCTTTGGGCAGTCCTCCACTGCTTTCCAAGGCCACAAGCAGGGAGCTGGATGGGAACCAGGGCTGCCGGGATTAGAACCATCACCCATATGGGATCCCGGCGTGTGCAAGGTGAGGACTTTAACCACTACACTATCGCACTGGGCCCATCATTTTACATTTTTTAAAAAAGTTAAGACTCATGGGCCCAGCACAGTAGACTAGTGGCTAAAGTCCTTGCCTTCCACATACCAGAATCCCATATGGGTGCCAATTCATGTCTCGGCTGCTCAATTTCCCATCCTGCTCCCTGCCTGTGGCCTGGGAAAGCAGACGAGGATGGCCTAAAGCCTTGGAACCCTGCACCTGCCTGGGAGACCTGGAGGAAGGTCTTGGCTCCTGGCTTTGGATCGGCTCAGCTCCAGCTGTTGAAGCTGCTTGGGGGAGTGAACCAGTGGACAGAAGATCTTTCCATCTCTCCTTCACTCTATAAATCTGACTTTCCAATAAAATAATATTTTAAGATTCATTTCTTTTTATTGGAAAGGTAGATTTACAGAGAGACAGAGAGAAAGATCTTCCATCTGCTGGTTCAGTCTCCAAATGGCTGCAATGGCTGGAGCTGAGCTGATCCAAAGCCAGGAGTTCCTTCCTGTTTTCACATGTGGACAGAGGTCCCAAGGACATGCATGGGCCATGCTCTCCTGCTTTTCCAGGCCTTAAGCAGGGAGATGGATTGGAAACAGAACAGCCAGAACACAAACTGGCACCATAAGGGATGCTGGAGCTTGCAGGCAGAGATTACCAGCTGGGTCATGGTGCCGGCTCCTGCACTTCATTTTCATAGCATTCTTAAAATGGGCCTGATAGGATAGCTTAGTGGCTAAATCTTTGCCTTGAATCCACCGGGATCCCACATGGGCACTGGTTCGTGTCCCAGCTACTCCACTTCCCATCCAGCTCCACGCATGGGGTCTGGGAAAGCAGTAGAGGATGGCACAAAGCCTTGGGACACTGCACCCATGTAGGAGACCCAGAGGAGGCTCCTAGCTCCAGATAGGCTCAGATCCAGCGATTGTGGCTACTTGGGAAGTGAACCAGCAGACAAAAGATTTTTCTCTGTATCTTTTCTGTAACTCTGACTTTCCAATGAAAATTAAAATGAATTTTTAAAAAATTTTTTAAATGACAAAGATATGGAGAACAAATCAGAAATGTGCCAGGGATTATAAGGATGGGAAATAGCTATAGTTCTAAAAGAGCAATGCTTCTGGTGATGGAAGGTGCTATGGATCATCACCGTGTCAAAGTCAAGAACCTGCTAGTACCAATGCACTATTACGTGTTTAAAAAGACTGGGCAAAAGGTACATAAAAGCCCAGGATTACTTCTCACAACAGCACATCAGTCTACAATGATCTCAAAAACTTTTAGTGAGAATTCCACCAACCACAAAAAAAAATAAATAAATAAATAAATAAAAGTCCTCAGAGGAAGAATCAAAATTAAAAAGGGGCAAGTGTTTGGAAGAGCAGGTAAGCCATCCTTGGGACACACACATTCTATATTTAGAGTGCTTGATTCAAGGCCCAGCTGCAATCCATCTTCTTGCTAGGACCTAGGCAGCATGTGGCAGTGGAAGTACTTGGGTCCTACTATCCACTGGGGAGCCCCACCGAGCTCTGGGCTCCTGGCTTTGGTCTGACCCATCCTCAACTTTTAGGACACTTGGGGAGTCAGCAGAAAGAAGATCCTGTCTCTCAGCTCTTCAAGTAACTATGAATTTTCAGGCCCAGCACAGTAGCCTAATGGCTAAAATCCTCGCCTTGCATGTGCCAGGATCCAGTTTGTATCCTGGTTGCTCCATTTCCCTTCTAGTTCCCTGCTTGTGGCCCAAGGCCTTGGGACCTGCAGCCACTTAAGAAATGAATAAGCAGATGCAAGATCTTTCTGTCTCTCCTCTCTGTGAATTTCACTTTCCAATAAAAATAAATTTTAAAAATGTTTCTGTGTTTTTGTTGTTTTTTTTTCCAAAAAGAAAACAAAGCAATTTCAGGCTAACCACCACTGGTGCTTTATTCTTCCACCTGGGATTTCTCAATGCTGTACATTAATCCTACATTTTAAAACTCTGATCTGCAACAGATTTTTACCAACACAAAATTTCATCTATATTACTTTACTCAACAGATGCTAAATCCTACTTAAGAAAGGGATAAATGAACAAGGGTTTCTCCTTAACTTTCTAAGCAGGACTATGTCTTTTTTTTTTTTTCTTTAGTTTTTTTGAGAAGACAGTAGGACAGCAGAACAGAAAGCTAACAGACTAAATGGCAAAAACAGGATTTAACAGTATCAAAATACCTCAAAATGAGGGCAGAGTGGATTCTGTAAAATACCCCTAGAAAAATCAAATCGTGAACCATGTCTAAGCAAAGTGTCCTTTCACATATCTCCAGTCTGTGTGCTGAGACACACTTAAGAACACTATTTCCCAAATGATCAACAACAGCTGAGGTCTGCATTTACCTTCTCAGATTCCAAATGATGATCCTTGTCCCCTTCTTGCCCATGATAGCATCAAGCTCTGCCAGTAACTTTTGCTCCGTAGAAAACAAAGAATGTTTCAGAATTGCAGCAAGGCTCGCTTTCGATTCTGTTAAATTAATCATCTGCCGTAAATCCGAAGTTAAGACTAAGATCATCAATGTGTTTTTGAGTTACGATATGGAAAGCACGCCAATGAATTTAAATAACAGAAAAGCTATTTCCAAAATCATCTGATAAGCTTTAACATGGCACTTTGAGCTTATAAATAAGCACCGGGCCCAGCACAGTGGCCTAATGGCTAAAGTCCTCGCCTTGCACATGCCAGGATCCCATATGGCCACCAGTTCTAATCCCAGCCACCCGCTTCCCATCTAGTTCCTTGCTTGTGGTTAGGAAAGCAGTAGAGGACGGCCCAAAGCCTTGGGATCCTGCACTGTGTGGGAGACCTGGGAGAGGCTCCTGGCTCCAGGCTTTGGATCGGCTCAGCTGCAGCCATTGCAGCAGCTTGGGGAGTTAATCAGCAGATAGAAGATCTTCCTCTCTGTCTCTCCTCCTCCTTTCTGTATACATCTGACTTTCCAATAAAAATAAATAAATCTTTAAAAAATAAATAAAAAGCTCCAAGAAAGATAAAAATTGAGCAAATTTACTATTATTCCAAACTGATTTACTGTCCCCTAATACTTCACTCTGTGTATACAGAAGGTATTTTCATATAAAGTTATTTGGCTCTTTGTGGTCACTAGAGTAAGCAACATCTTCAAGCCAGACAACAAATGCTGTACCAGTCCACAAGAAGCCTGAAGTAAAGTGGACAGTCCAGGGAGCTTAAGAAAATGCAATCACTTCATGTGAGGGATTTTTTGGGCACAATTCTGACAGAGGGGAGAAAAGGACAAGCCATCCATAGACTCTGGTGTAACATAAAGGCAGCCAACAGACAGTGGCAGCAACAGTCAAGATTCAAAACTATGCAAAGGCCAAAGGACAGAGTTTTGAGAGAATTTCTTCAGTTTCTCCAAGGCTTCTATTTCAAAAGTAAAAGGATATGGTCTTTGTTGAATGCCACTATCGGGACAACAACATGCTCTGCTTTTATGGCTTCCAAGTAGGTCTGAGACAAGAAGCCGACGCTCATGCTTTCTCCGTTTTTGGTAAAAACGATTGCATCTCTACCCAAACGCATAGAACCGGACTTGAAGCCATTCCCGTACAATCCAACTGGCACATGACCATTCATGGTGACTTTGTCGCTGAAACCAAAGCTAAAAGGAAAGATTTTAAGCCTAAGTAAGCATCCTTGTCCTTTTTTAAAAACATGCAGTGAGTAAACGCAGCAAGTACAATGCCAGCTCCCCTTCCCCCGTGGCGTACTCTCTCGGGCAACTTCCTTTAAGCTATGTGAGTGTTTCTTCCTGACCAGCACCCAAGTAGCAAGGATTACAGGTACTAAACATTGAGTTCACTGCCTGGCGCCCCCAGAGCCTGGGACCCCAAGATCTCACCCCACAACTGTTCTTCTTCACATGAATGAATGTCTTGTCAGCAAGCCCACTCTGGCGTGATTACTGACGAGGTCGACCTGATGCTCTTGCAGCACACGCAGCATGCAAGGGACAAAGTCCTCTGCTTCTCCATCCCCCTCACCCTGTGCCTGCGCTCTGCATCCCAGCCCTGGGCACTCCATCACCTCTTCTGTGACACGAGGTTTTGTGACTACTTAACGCAGCTCTCTCCTTCTCTCAATCCCTTTAAAGTTACTCCCCTACCAAAACAACTGGAGTGTTTTTTAAAAATACCAGTTATGTGCATTAAATACAAGTAACAGATACCACTGTGCTACAACTTACAAGAACAGAATTCTGGGAAAGTCACACGAAGAGTAGGTAGAGACTGCCTAATGATACAACGCTGGTAGAAAAAGACGAAAAGCTCTTAAGAGTAGAGCACATTGTGGCTATCACATTTCATGCTGAAAACACCAAAACAAACTTAGGACAATCGGCTATGACACATACAACCATAAAAGCAATGACTTTAGGAAATACAGCACATTTGTACATACCTCAGCATTTTATGTAATTTATCTGAAGTCATACCATTCCCGTTGTCAGTAAATGTCAAGCATATACGCTCATTTATCACTGTTTTGTCAATCCATATCTGTTTAGCATTCACATCAGGATCATAAGCATTATCTGAGAAACAAAAAGTTATGAGAGATTTTGATTTTACATTTCAAATAAGAGTAACTAGTTCAGAACAACCCTGTCGCAAGAACTGAATGCTAAATTGTAAGCAATTCTGAAAACATGAACCTATTCTACATTTTAATTACTGACTAGTACAGAATTAATTCTTTCCAAATCTCTCTGTGGTATGTAGAGCAAAAGCTGGTATTCATACACTGCAGAAGTATAAAATAAAACCCAATGCACTATAGAATCGATGAAGAGGACTGGCCTGGGACCAGTGCAACGGCATAGCCAGCTGATCCTCAGTCTGCAGTGTTGGCATCCCCTATGGGCGCCAGTTCTGATCCCGGCTACCCCACTTCCCAACCAGCTCCCTGCTTTACAAGCTAGGAAAGCAGTGGAGGATAGTGCAATGCCTTGGGACCCTGTACCCATCTGAGAGTCCCAGAAGAAGCTCAGGGTTTCAGATTGGCCCAGCTCTGGCCAATGCAGCCAATTGGGGACTGCATCAGCAGATGGAAGATCTCTCTCTCCCCATCTCTGTAACAATGACTTTCATGTCCAACAAATCTTTTTTTTTTTTTAAAGATTTATTTATCTTTATTGGAAAGGCAGATGTGCAGATAGGAAGAGGAGAGACAGAGAGGAAGATCTTCTGTCCGATGATTTAGTCCCCAAGCAGCCACAACAGCTAAAGCTGCACCAATCCGAAGCCAGGAGCCAGGAACCTTATCCAAGTCTCCCAGGAAGGTGCAGGGTCCCAAGCCTTTGGGCCATCCTCGACTGCTTTCCCAGGCCACAAGCAGGGAGTTGGGTGGGAAGTGGGGTTGCCGAGATTAGAACCAGCACCCATATGGGATCCCAGCATATGCAAGGTGAGGACTTTAGCTGCTAGGCTACTGCGTCGGGCCCCAGTAAATTAATCTTTAAAACAAACAAAAAACACGACCAACAAAGAACTCGCCTGGCTGTCCCTAGAAAACCTGGATTGTCTCGCAGCACGAGTTGACATACAGTCACTAATTAACAAGAAGGTGTTGTTATTTTCTACTAAGCTATATGCAGACAGAAGACTGCCCAACAATTACAAATCGTGGCCCTTTTCAGTCTGACTGAATGTTTTTAGAGTTGTACAGTTCTCCCTGTGCATACACCTCTTCAACATCCTTTTCTGGCATATTGGCTTCTCATAGAATAGGCAAGCAGTGGGGCTAAGCCACTGTTCAGCACAACACATCCCACCCTGCACTGCCTGGTTCCAGTCCTGGCTCGTCCCATCCTGCTGCAGCTTTCCGCTGATGTACACTCCGAAATGCGATGAAGGATGGTTTAGGTCCTCAAGTCCCGCACCCCATCAGGGAGACCTGAATGGTTCCTAGCTTCAACCTGGCCCAGCCTGGCAACTGCAGTTCTTTAGAGAGACACTCAGGAAATGAAAGATGTCCCTACCCAACTCTGTCAGGCTACCTTTCAAATAAATATAAGCATTTTAAATAATAACAAAATAGAAATATTTCAGTGGTACTGGCAAATACAGTATCTTGTAAGTTATTTAAGATGCAGCCAATTATGAGTTAGGAAAGGGGGAATGTGCCTAGTCCTGTAGAATCAAACCACAGGCAGGACTCGAAATTCATTAAACCTAAGGAGGTTACACTTTGGGTTGATAATTTCGTATGGCCCATGAATTATGTTATAAAAACACTGCTTTAAAAGTATCCATCCTTAAAGTAGCCTACAATTAAGTAATTTCACCCCGAGTCTTCCTGGGAAGACAGTATTCCATGAACAGTGTCCCTGGATACATCCCGAGAAACACTGTGAAAGTCACAGGCACCTCCTCCAGACCACTGCAAACACCAGGTCTGTGAACCACTGAAATATTTTTTGCAGATTTAGACCAGATTAAAAAAGAAATCACCCAAGTGAACTGTTAGTATACTCTGGAAAATCTAATTATACCAAAAAAAAGAAGAGTGCTTGGCCAAAAGTATTTTTTTCTTGTACATCCCTTCCTTGATAAAGAACTTAAAATGTATCAAGACTTTTCTTTTGTTTTTAAAACACACACTAAAAAATGTGTAAAGTATTCACACAAGTGAATTTTCCTAAGAAAAAGTCATGATCAGCGAGCCTCTTATGGTCACTGACACACGATCAGAACATCATCCCTGGAGGCCGACAGCTGCAGGTGACTGAGATGCTATCTGGGACACCTGCACACCTTCCAACTTGGGCTTGCTCCACTGCCCAGTCCAGCTTCCTGCTCAAACACACCCAGCAAAGCAGCAGATGAGTCCCTTCCACAAAAGGAGACCTGGACTGAGTTTCCCTGGCTGTTCCCAGGGAATCACAGCATAAAAGATCTCTGTCTCAGACAAACTTACAGAAAAATACTGCATGTCACACTACTGACTGGAAAGATAATCCATTGTTTATGTTGAAAATACTTTTCCACTAAATTCTCATTTTATTCTTGTATAATCAGAATAAAAATATTTTCAACATTCTTTATGGTCTTAGCAAATTAAATCCTAAATATCATGAAACACTTGGAAAGCATTACAGAGAAGTCTGAGCAGTGATTAAACTGATATATACCTAAAAGCTTATTACATTTTAGAAACATTTGGAAAGTATATTTGTATACTATTTTTCAATAAAAAGCTTTAAAACTGTAATTGCAAGCCACAGATGGTACATAAAATACCAATTTACATACCTATTAATTCAGCAACTGCACTGAATGGCCACGTGTGACTGGTAGAATTTGTGTGTAAAAACTTCGGACAAAGCTGAGACAAAATAAAGATTCATGCAAGTTAATTTCAGCTGTACTTTTGAGAACAGAAACACAAATACAATTATTTGTCCCCACATTAAGCAACACTGAAACCAAACAAAAATGACTTAGCTGCTGTCTCTAGGACAAAACTTTTAAAGGTTATTGGAAAAAAGGCTGGGAAACAATCAGACAGCTTGCTAAAACTTTTCCTAAAGTTCATCTTAGAATTTACCCAGCCAAAGGCCTAAGATCCCATAAGTATCATTTCCTAGTTCCTAGTCAGCCTACTTTTCATACAATTTTGTCAATAAGTGTTTCCCCCTAAGTGTATTAGCCCTGCCAAACTCAGCTCTGCTTCTTCACAGGCTTTTCTGTGATCTCTTAGTCAATATCTGACACCTCACTTTGAATAGTGCCACCAAGATCATTACAGCTGACCACGGGGCAATCACGGTCTGCCCGCCGAAAACCCTGTAACAGCATCAAGTAACAATTCCAAAGTACCAAACCAACCTGTACGGTTGAATCTGACTTTACTCACAATAATAGTTTGAAATAAGCCAACCATTCATGTAATGAGAACACTCCAAATTTTTCACAAATGTAGATATCAAATGTAAGATATGCACATAGTTTTAAAAGGCTGAGACTTGAAATTCTCAATACATAGAGCATTTACACACGGTGCACACGGAGCATTTACACACGTGCACACGGAGCATTTACACACAGTGCACACAGAGCATTTACACACTGTGCACATGGAGCATTTACACACGTGCACACGGAGCATTTACACACAGTGCACACGGAGCATTTACACACGTGCACACGGAGCATTTACACACAGTGCACACGGAGCATTTACACACGTGCACACGGAGCATTTACACACAGTGCACACAGAGCATTTACACACGTGCACACGGAGCATTTACACACGTGCACATGGAGCATTTACACACAGTGCACACAGAGCATTTACACACGTGCACACGGAGCATTTACACACGTGCACATGGAGCATTTACACACAGTGCACACAGAGCATTTACACACGTGCACACAGAGCATTTACACACTGTGCACATGGAGCATTTATACACGTGCACACGGAGCATTTATACACGTGCACATGGAGCATTTACACACAGCACACGGAGCATTTACACACGTGCACACGGAGCATTTACACACGTGCACATGGAGCATTTACACATGTGCACATGGAGCATTTACACACGTGCACATGGAGCATTTACACATGTGCACATGGAGCATTTACACACAGAGCACATGGAGCATTTACACACGTGCACACGGAGCATTTACACACGTGCACATGGAGCATTTACACACGTGCACACGGAGCATTTACACACGTGCACATGGAGCATTTACACACAGAGCACATGGAGCATTTACACACGTGCACACGGAGCACTTACACACGTGCACACGGAGCATTTACACACGTGCACACGGAGCATTTACACACGTGCACACGGAGCATTTACACACGTGCACATGGAGCATTTACACACAGTGTACACGGAGCATTTACACACGTGCACACGGAGCATTTATACACAGTACACATGGAGCATTTACACACAGAGCACACGGAGCATTTACACACATGCACATGGAGCATTTACACACGAGCACATGGAGCATTTACACACAGAGCACACGGAGCATTTACACACGTGCACACGGAGCATTTACACACGTGCACATGGAGCATTTACACACGTGCACATGGAGCATTTACACACGTGCACATGGATCATTTATACACTGTGCACATGGAGCATTTACACACGTGCACACGGAGCATTTACACACGTGCACATGGAGCATTTACACACAGAGCACATGGAGCATTTACACACAGAGCACATGGAGCATTTACACACGTGCACACGGAGCATTTATACACAGTACACATGGAGCATTTACACACAGAGCACACGGAGCATTTACACACGTGCACATGGAGCATTTACACACGAGCACATGGAGCATTTACACACAGAGCACATGGAGCATTTACACACGTGCACACGGAGCATTTACACACGTGCACATGGAGCATTTACACACGTGCACATGGAGCATTTACACACGAGCACATGGAGCATTTACACACCGAGCACACGGAGCATTTACACACGTGCACACGGAGCATTTACACACGTGCACATGGAGCATTTACACACAGAGCACACGGAGCATTTACACACGTGCACACGGAGCATTTACACACGTGCACATGGAGCATTTACACACGTGCACACGGAGCATTTACACACGTGCACATGGAGCATTTACACACAGAGCACATGGAGCATTTACACACGTGCACACGGAGCACTTACACACGTGCACACGGAGCATTTACACACGTGCACACGGAGCATTTACACACGTGCACACGGAGCATTTACACACGTGCACATGGAGCATTTATACACTGTGCACATGGAGCATTTACACACGTGCACACGGAGCATTTACACACGTGCACATGGAGCATTTACACACGTGCACACGGAGCATTTATACACTGTGCACATGGAGCATTTACACACGTGCACACGGAGCATTTACACACGTGCACATGGAGCATTTACACACGTGCACATGGAGCATTTACACACAGTGTACACGGAGCATTTACACACGTGCACACGGAGCATTTATACACAGTACACATGGAGCATTTACACACAGAGCACACGGAGCATTTACACACATGCACATGGAGCATTTACACACGAGCACATGGAGCATTTACACACAGAGCACACGGAGCATTTACACACGTGCACACGGAGCATTTACACACGTGCACATGGAGCATTTACACACGTGCACATGGAGCATTTACACACGTGCACATGGAGCATTTATACACTGTGCACATGGAGCATTTACACACGTGCACACGGAGCATTTACACACGTGCACATGGAGCATTTACACACAGAGCACATGGAGCATTTACACACAGAGCACATGGAGCATTTACACACGTGCACACGGAGCATTTATACACAGTACACATGGAGCATTTACACACAGAGCACACGGAGCATTTACACACGTGCACATGGAGCATTTACACACGAGCACATGGAGCATTTACACACAGAGCACATGGAGCATTTACACACGTGCACACGGAGCATTTACACACGTGCACATGGAGCATTTACACACGTGCACATGGAGCATTTACACACGAGCACATGGAGCATTTACACACAGAGCACACGGAGCATTTACACACGTGCACACGGAGCATTTACACACGTGCACATGGAGCATTTACACACAGAGCACACGGAGCATTTACACACGTGCACACGGAGCATTTACACACGTGCACATGGAGCATTTACACACGTGCACACGGAGCATTTACACACGTGCACATGGAGCATTTACACACAGAGCACATGGAGCATTTACACACGTGCACACGGAGCATTTACACACGAGCACATGGAGCATTTACACACAGAGCACACGGAGCATTTACACACGTGCACACGGAGCATTTACACACGTGCACATGGAGCATTTACACACGTGCACATGGAGCATTTACACACGTGCACATGGAGCATTTATACACTGTGCACATGGAGCATTTACACACGTGCACACGGAGCATTTACACACGTGCACATGGAGCATTTACACACAGAGCACATGGAGCATTTACACACAGAGCACATGGAGCATTTACACACGTGCACACGGAGCACTTACACACGTGCACACGGAGCACTTACACACGTGCACATGGAGCATTTACACACGTGCACACGGAGCATTTACACACGTGCACATGGAGCATTTATACACTGTGCACATGGAGCATTTACACACGTGCACACGGAGCATTTACACACGTGCACACGGAGCATTTACACACGTGCACACGGAGCATTTATACACTGTGCACATGGAGCATTTACACACGTGCACACGGAGCATTTACACACGTGCACATGGAGCATTTACACATGGTGCACAGTTTTCTCTAAATTTTAAGGAAAACAGAAAGGGGAGCATGGTGTCTGGCATGAAGTGCCAGAGGAACAGGATTAGACTGGTGCCAGAAGAGAGGTTCTTGTCCACTGTATTTGCTGCAGGCCAATTCTCAATCCTTGGGCAGCCAGCAGGTTGCACTATCACACCTGTGAGGCACAGCACACTTCGGAAGACTGTTCCTGACACACTAGTACATGTGAGTCTCATTTTCTATGTCATACATCAGGTAACAGCACAACACATTCATGAGATGAGGAGATACAACTCGGTCTTTCTAAAGCACCCATCACAGTTCCAAATCAATGTCCAGATCTTCATTTTGCTTAAAACCGTCTTCTCAAATGCAGAATGAGAAAGTGCCAGCAGTGGCTGTCAGAAAGGGCTTTCTGACCCAGCTCCCCGCCCCTTATACCATCTTTGTTTATAAAAGAGCCAGTATAGTCTTGGCTTATTCAAAATTACATTACAGTGTGAATTGAGATGCAAGCTACAATGTGGTGATACAAACATCCATTCTCACTTAATGATTTCTACAATACCTGCCACCCAGGCACGTATCTTTCTTGGGTAACATTTCCCTAAGAGCAAACCAAAAAGGTCTAAAACAACAACACACACTGAAAAGAGGCTTTCCAGTGATCTAAACATAAGCTACTATTCTTTAGCCATTCTTAACTCTTTCGTGAGTACACAATCTTAACTAGAAAGAATAAGTACTCCTGCAAAAAGCAATGTAATACACACACACACACACACACACACACACACACTAGAAGCAGACAGGTTAGAAGAGGGGTAACTAGATGTGTTATCTGGGGCGAGCAGCTTAACCTCTGTGCCTTAAGTTCTGTCATCTGAACTGAAGATGACTAACAATATCAGCTCAATTTGTCACCAAGAAAAATACATGACAATATTTTCAAGTCCTCACAAGAATGACTGGAA